AGCGTTAGACGCTTGGAGAAGCAGGGGGCCCACGTTTGTCCCGCAGCTCAGACTTGGCCTCGACTGACAGGTGGGAATCCCAGGGTCGGCTGAGGTGCCCACGTCTGCACCACCCGCTCGTGAGCAAAGCCTCCGACCTCCAGCTTCTCACCCTCACTCGCTCCTCTCCTTCCCCTTCTCTGATTTGCTTCATTTTTCAAAAAAGATTTATTTACGGGCTAGAGCTGTGGTGTAGCAGGTCAAGTGGTGGCCTGCAGTGCCGGCATCCCGTATAGGCGTGGGTTTGTGTCCCGGCTGCTCCACTTCCGATTCAGCTCCCTGCTAATGTGCCTGGGAAAGCAGTGGAAGATGGCCAAAGTCCTTGGGCCCCTGCACCCATGCGGGAGACTCAGAAGAAGCTCCTGGTTCCTGGCTTCGAATCAGCCCAACTCCAGCTGTTGCAGCCATATAGGGAGAGGGAAGATTCTCTCTCTCTCTCCCCCTCTCAGTCTCTGTAACTCTGCTTTTCAAATAAATAAACAAATATTTTTTTAAAAAAATCAAATAGGTAGAAATGCTGGTAAAAGAGAAACTAAAATTGGACACAACCCTAAAACCAGAGAGCTGGGGGCACCAGGGTATTAAGCACTGGGGGAAACTGGCCTCTCAGGACCTCCTTCCTCCTTGGACAACGCTGGGCGCTGGGCTGGGGACAGCCGAGCAGACAGCAGGTGGCAGTCTCCCTGAGGCTGGGCTGGGGGGCCTGGTGAGCGGACCCCGATCTGCCACCACTCCCTATGCCGTAGGCTGGTCCTTGCCCTCCCTGGTCCTTGGTTTTCCAAGGGGGACTCAAGACAGCAGACTCAAGCCCAGGGAGGCAGCTGGGGAGGACTGGGGTGGAGAGGTGTGTGTGGAGGGGGTGAGTACAGGGTGAGGGCAGGTCTGGGCCACCCTCTCTCCCCAGACCCCAGCCCGCGGAGCCTAGTCCCCCGCATGTTAGGGAGCAGGGTCCCGGGAGACAGGAGGTGAAGGAAGCATGGGCCGCGAGGGCTCTCCAGGGAGGCCGGGTGTGTGTGGGCATGAAAAGGAGCTACATTTATGAGCTTGGCACACACGGCCCTGGCGGCTGGGAGTCCCACCAGCTGCCTTCTGCAAACCGGAGGCCCAGGGAGGCAGGTGGCACGGGCCCACGCCCCACTGAAGGGCCAGGCGCCAAGGCTTGCCAAGCAGGGGCTTCCTGTCCGGGGGCGGAAGGTGGACTTCCCGCTGAAGCAGAGAGCAGGCGCGGGCTTCCTGCACCTCTTCTGCCCTGTTCAGGCCCCAGCAGATCAGCGATGCCTGCTGGCGTGGGGGACAGGTCCTTCCTCAGGCACTAACCTCTCGCAGACCCCTACGCGTGATGTTTTGCCAGCTTTCTGGGCCCTGCTGAGCCCACCCACGCTGACACGTCGGGAAGCACGACACTCAAGCAAGATGTGGAAAGTGGAGCTGCCTCCGGCTCCGACCTTTCTCCTGCCCAAGTTCACTGCTTTGGCTTCGGCAACTTTCCAGCGTCTCAGGACTTTGAGGATGGTTATAGTTGAGCCCCCAAGTGGGGTCGGGTGCGTGTGCGTCCTTTCTTGTTTAAATGACTGCTTATCTCAGAGCGGGATCCAGGCTTGCTTCTCCGACCTGACTCGGAACTCAGCCGGGCACAGAAGCGGGTGGAGCCCACGGGCTTGCCCACGGCTTCCTCGCCCGTGCTCAGCTCTCTCCGTGGAGAACCAGGAGGTTTACAGGCGTCAGGTAAAAATAGCTGGTGCAGCTTCCGCCGGGAAGGCACTCAGGGAAGGGAGGGATCATTTGCTAAAAAAGAAACGGCCTACCAAGTCGCTGCCATAGTTTTCGAATCTGTTTTTGGAAAGTGTATCTGGAGACTTGAAGACGTTGTTGCCTTGTCATTCAGTCCTTCTGACATCCGTCCCTGAAGAAACGAACGTGACCACAGGAAAAGCTCAGTGGACGAACTCCGCATTGCAGTCTCCTTTGCCAAAGTAAAACGCCGGAAAGGTCCTTAGGGTGCAGGGTGCAGGGAGTTCAGGTTCAGACACACCCTCCTGCTCACAGGTGCACTCAGCTGTGAGGTCCAGGTGGTGGTGCCAGGTGCGACCTACAGCAACGTGAAGGTGTGTAGTGTTTACGCTGCAGGAGCCTATGACCTCAGGACCCTGTTCAAGGGGACACAGAGGGACCAGATGATGCGGTGGGGCCACAGAGGGACCAGATGATGCGGGGGGGACCCACAGAGGGAGCAGAACCCAGACTTGCACTCAGGGAAGACTTCCTGGAGGAGGGGCCTTTCAAGCTGAACTGAAGGTTATGGAGCTTGGCTGGGAAGGATGGAGGGAGAGCGTCGGGGCAGAGAGCAGGTGGGACGCGCGAGTGGTGACAGCGTTCACTGTGTGAGTGGAGGGGTGGACAGGGAAGCCAGCGGCAGAAGTGAAGGGAGGAGCCGTCCTGGAGTCATAGCACAAAGCGGCTTTCTCTCGAGAGCGGCTCGGGAGCTTTTAGCCTGAGAGTGACGCGACCAGATTTACCGTCCGCAGCTCTCTCACCGCGCCTGGAGAACGGCCAGCGAGACTGCGGCCAGCAGTGACGGCGGCCAGCCAGGCAGAGGCAGCAGCCACGGAGAGACGGTGCGGACGCACGCCGCCGTGGCCTCTGTGGGGGCAGAACCCTCACGCTGGAGAGGCAGAGCAGGGCAGAGGTTAGTGTGATCTCTGCAGCCTGACCACGTGGGTTAGATCCCAACTGTTTTGCTGTGTGACCCTCAGCAAGTTAACTGACCTCTCTGTGGAAAGGGCAGGAGGTTGTTGAGAGCACTGGTGGAGTGGTTATGTATCTCGCTCTGACAGTGCCTGGAGTGGGAGTACTCTGAGTGATGTTGCTGGAAGTGCTATTATTGGCAGGTTGCAGACATGGGCAGCGGGTCAGGGAGAGAGGTTGAGAGGAGGGTCTCCGGTCCTGGCTCGGGCAGGTGGAGTCCTGGGCTTGTGGGGAGAAGTGGATGAATTCAGTGTAGACCGAGGCACCAGTGCAGTGAGCAGGTGGAGTTGTGCCTGAGCTGCCGAATCACAGGCACGCGGCTCGGGAGACGATGTGTGCCCGAGAGAGATTCGCGGCTCCGAGGGCCTCCGGGGCAGCCTGAAGTGTGGCGGTGTGGGACCTCAGCCTGTCATGGCGGGGTTTTGGGAACTTCCTGGTGCAGATTTGGTGAGGAGGGAGTAACTGTCCCTAAAAGTTGTAGGAGCGAGTAGCCATCTACACAGAACTCCTTACCCAGGCCCGGGCGCTTCACGCGAGCATGCACCAGCAGTGTTGGGTTGTCCAAGAGCCTCTGGAAGTCCTCCTGAGAAAGGTCCATCAAAACACCAGCCCTGCAGGTGCTGGGTCCAGTTAATTCACTGGGATGCCTGCAACCCACATCAGAGTCCCTGCTCCACTTCCAATCCAGTTTCCTGCACACACACACCCTGGGAGGCTGCAGGGGGTGGCTCAAATACTTGGGTCCCTACCACCCACCCACTTGGTGAACCTGCATGGAGTTCCTAGCCCCTGGCTTTGGCCTGGCTCAGCCCCAGCTGTCCTGGGCATTCAGGGAGTAGCCCAGCGTGGAAGAAGCAAAACTGTGTTCTGCTTTGCCACCACTAGGTGGCGCACAGGCAGCAGGTGGCTACATTTAAGTCAAGTTGAAAGTTTTGATAATGACCTGTTCATCCATTTTATGGGTGCCAAGGTGCCTCCTTTTGTCCTAGGCCTAAATAACAAAATTTGTTCTCAGCACACGCACAATGTGAGCTCAGATTCTGTGTTCAAGACCCCCTTCTCACCCTCCCTTGGCTGGCAGAGTGCAGGGTGCACACGTGACCAAGGACAGGCAGCAGGACCTGGAGCAGGCCGCCCCCACCCCTCCCCAGCTCCCAGGTGTTGTGTCCATCCTCACAGACACGCGGAGGAGGCAGTCGGTCCAGCTGGGACCCCTGGGAGCTGGAACTCCTGCAGGCAGGGCTTGCCTTGGGCTCCCTGGAGCCTCCTGGAGGTTGTGGGTCTTGCTTGCTGGTGCCGGTGCACGATGGTGTGTGCTCTTCATTCTCCACGTTATGAAATAAATGACCCAATCATAGATACCTGCAAGGGTAATTCTGGACTGCTTGCAGGCAACTGGGGCCAGTGCTGCGGTGTAGTGGGCTAAGCCTCTGCCTGCAGCTCCGGCATCCCATATGGGCACCAGTTTGCATCCCGACTGCTCCTCTTCCAATCCAGCTCTCTGCTAATGGCCTGGGAAAGCAGTGGAAGATGGTCCAAGTGTTTGGAAAAGTGAAAATATCTAGCAATAAAAGATCTGACAAATACTTTATGTAGGAATAAAAGTAGATCTCACTGACTTTTAAGTCAGCAATAGGTCCTTTTCCCTTTCCCTGGTCTTATTTTTCCCTCAATTGCTGATTTAAAAATGATTGGCTTGGCCAGCGCCGGGGCTCACTAGGCTAATCCTCCACCTTGCAGCGCCGGCACATGTGGTTCTAGTCCCGGTCGGGGCGCCAGATTCTTTCCCAGTTGCCCCTCTTCCAGGCCAGTTCTCTGCTGTGGCCAGGGAGTGCAGTGGAGGATGGCCCAAGTGCTTGGGCCCTGCACCCCATGGGAGACCAGGAGAAGCACCTGGCTCCTGGTTTCGGATCAGCGCAGTGCACCGGCCGCAGTGGCCATTGGAGGGTGAACCAACGGCAAAGGAAGACCTTTCTCTGTCTCTCTCTCTCACTGTCTACTCTGCCTATAAAAAAAAAAAAGATTGCCTTTGGCAGTATGTAAGAAGCCAAGTCTGCTAACAACTGGGTTTGGCAATTAAGCCAAATTCCTTATAGCTGTGTCTTCTGGACGCTTCCCTGCCTGACGCAAACCACTGCTGCTTTGTAAGTGACAGTGACCCAAGGGGGCAAAACAAAAACCCTGGATGTGAAAGAGACTATAGTGTGAATCACATCTAATTTTAAATAGTTTAATTTATATATTTTCATGAAGATAGGTCCATAAGAAACGCACTTTGCAGATTTTATTTCAGTTACAGCACATATTTGTTGAGGACCCACGCCGTCGCCGGGTGCCTGCTCCACAGCCTGCGGGAGATGCGGGGGGACACTTCCGGGTGGCCTGGAAACAGCCACTAAGCGACCAGGGCCGCAGAGTTGAGAAAATTCAGCGCATCGCCTTGCCTAGACCCAGGGAGAGTCTTCGGGTGTTCTGAAGTCTGGTTATTTCTCTTCTATTTAAAAGTCCAAGGTACATGGCCCAGTGTAAACAATAAATCCCAATCTGTCACACTGTGGGTGAGGCCTCATTCTGTGCTGTAAGGAGCCGTCCCGCACCACACAGGAGAGGAAGCCGCCCTCGGTCCCTGGCAGAGCCATGGAGACTTCTCCCCTCCGCGGCTGGCGGCACACTCCGGAGGTCTTTCCGACTTGGCCTGTTGGTCGCAAGATACAAACGCACAGGGTCCATGGTGGAAAACAGCAACGCCTAGCCATGTGTATTTATTATGAACTGCTAAGATCCTATACAAGTACAATACCATAGCATGCCCGTTAATATACAGAGGGAGGTGGCTGAGCGTCTCGCCAGCAGTGCAGCACATGATCGGGAGCGGAGGGGCACCGGGCGGCTGTGTGGGGGTGGGCAGGGCGCGGTGGCTGGAGTTCTGGGATGCCCGTATACCCTGCCGAAATATTTAGGGTAGCCGGGAGTAGAAGAGGACCCCTTTCTCGCCAGTCTCCCAGAGCGAGGATTTACAAAACCTTAGAAAAATGTAAGCAAAGAAAGTCTCCTATCTTTGCGTCTCCTGATTCGGCTGTGCAAATCAGCGATTCGGTCTCCTCCCGAGTGACTTTTCCTCCCAGGACCAAGTCATCAACAGTGATCATGGTTCAGTACCTTATCATCATCAGCAACATAAATATTGGGCTTAGCAAGTGTGGTGGCGAGACAGGAGAGAGTATGTACAATATTTTAGAAGGCATTCTGTGACCATTTTTGAAGAGTTCATAGAAAAGATAACTAAGGTTACACCAGTTCCTCCTGTTGACGCCATCAAAGAGGAAACTTTGGAACCGTCTTTGTGTTCACGTGCACTGTTTCGTAGATTGTTCTAGAAAAGCGAGAACGGCACCGCTGATGTGACGCCACGTGCGTCACGCCTAAGCTAAGGTAACCGGCAGAGGGCATAGTTTTCCTGAGGTTTGTAAGATTTTTTTTTTTTTTTTAACAAAACAGAAATCACAGTGACCAAGTGTAGCGCGAGTCTGAGAGTCCAGGGCGCGCTGGGTGGCCCTTGTTCTCGCGGGGACTAAATGACCCGCCACTGCATGATGCTGGTGTCTTTCCCGCCCGTGGAGATGAGGTGGCTGTCTTCACAGAGGAAATCCACGTTGGTGACGTGGCTGCTGTGCCCGCCGTATATGTGGCTTGGGGCCTGAAGAGTGACAGGGAGGGAAGAATGACAGGGAGGAGTGGCAGAGGGCCTGAGTTCTAGACCGCGGAGTGCTTCAACTCCTCCCGGTTCTCAGCAGCGCCCAGCTGCGCACCTGCTCTGTGCCCGGCACCCAGAGGGACCTAGAAACAAGGCTCTTCAGGTCCCGTCATCGCGGGGCGGCAGACATGAGCCAAGGACCTGCCCACAGCTGAGGCTGTGCTCAGTGCCAGGGGACCATGCCAGGCTGGGGGCAGCCTAATGGGGGTGCAAACCCTTGGGGCTGGGGCTGGGGTGTCCCAGGGAAAGAGAGTTGGTTCGGGGGGGGGGGGCAAGGAAGGGCGCTCCAGGCACAGGGCGGACTCCACTCAGCAGGGCTGAAGCAGAGGGAGTGAGGGTATAGGGGAAGGAGGGAGGCCCGGAGAGCTGCTGTCTCCAGGGGGCTCTGCAGGCCGAGCCATGGCGGGCTTTTCCCAGGGTGCTGGGGATCTCGGATAACAGGGTCACGTGGGTGTCTGGCTGGCCTGTTCCCCCACAGCCTGAGTGCAGCGCCCGAGTAGGGGGTGGGGAGGTCGGCTCCCTTACCCTAAACTGAGCGCACGGGTAGGAGAAGAGGTGCACTTTGCCGAAGTCGTCGCCTGTGGACAGCAGGTTTTTCTCGCGGGCCCGACAGACGGCGTTGATGTCAGTTCCGTCCGAGCCTTCCGGCCACACTCCTAGGATGGAGACCACACACACCACTGGAGATACCACAGTCCCTGGCCACCCATCACAGAAACCGGCCATGGAGCTGCCACGAAAACAGAATTGTCTGACATCCCAGGCTTGAGGAACAGAGGCCAAAAGGAGGCTCTCAGCCTCAGCCTCAGTCTCTCCTCCCGGTGCCACCCCGGGGCCGTTCTTGGGGCTCCCTGCCACACTCAGTGCTGCTGTCCCCCACAAGAGTGGCGATGGCAGCTTTCTGGGCTGCCCACTTCTTTGGGTGCCCCTTTCGGCTGCTCCAGCACAAAGCATGCTAGAGACCCCGGTTACGGACCTGGTGCTTCCAGCTCACCCCAGAGTGCCTGACGGGGGCTCCCTGGGCCTCTGGCCAGCAGTTTCCTAACATGGCTGCTGCTGCTGCTGCTTCTCTTTTCATGAGAGCTTCCTCTAAAGGACTCATTAGCCCCGGCTGCGTGTGTGCCTGCAGCCGCCGTCACCCATGACCGTGACGCCTGCTCCCCGAGGTCTCCGCAGCCCTGTGGCTAGGGGCCCTGGAAAGCCGGCCGGGGCAGCAGGAGCAGGCAATGCCTCCGACCATTGCCGTGGGAAACCCTGACGGCCGTGAGCAGCGGGAGGCACAGTAGTTGCTCTGCTGGCAGCTCCGGGGGCAGAGTGGGGGTCTCGTGCGGAACAGCAGGAAATGGGAGTGTGCTGGATCCCGAGAAACCCGGGAGTTGGCACCGACTTCCTGGCACGCGGCTCCTATACATGGGATTCTAAGTACTGCCTTTTGGTTCCCCTGAACTGTGTCAATTTATTTGAGGTCGTCTGTGCTGAACTGGGAAGGAAGTGAAATATTTAGTTTCTGGATTGAAAAACTGTAACAAGCCCAGCAAGTGATCCGTGAGCGTGCCGAGAGCGCCGTCTGGCCCACTGAGGCTGCGCCGGCACCGCCGGGGCCTTCCCTCAGGACCCACGGGTGCATGCAGCGAAGTGCCTCGGAGGCCATCCCAGCCGTCAGCCGCTCTGCCTGGGCAGCGCGGGGCCCTGTGTGGTGGGAGGAGAACGGCCCTGAGGCTGCAGGCTCTCAGAGTAGATGCACACGACGCCCGAACGCAGCCTACCGAATACGTGGAAGCCCAAAGTGCAGGTGTACGTGGCCCATTCGATGTCTCTCGTGGTCTCCACACTGACGACTTGCTTACAAGCAGAGGGGACCCCTGGAAAAGGCAGGCAGCCTGGTCACCCCCAAACGCAGGCCCCTGGCGCTCCTGAGTGCCCTAGCACCCGCCGGCCCTGCAGCTGTCGGCTTGCCCCGGACAGAGCTCAAGGCCTGGCTCATCTTCTTTCATGTCTGTGTCCCACAGGCTAGCCTCTCTTGTCTGGGACCATGCCCTGGGCCCCAGGTTACTCCCCACCCGGCTGGAGGTCCGACTGCCCAGCACACACAGATATACTGTACACATGCACACGCATGCACACGCATGCACACACCCCGGGATCACGTAACCCCACAGTCCCACACAGACACACTGTACACACGCACATATGGGCACACACCCAGGATCACCCCAACCCCACAGTCCCACATGGACCCACTGTACACACACACACACACACACACACCCGAGATCACCCCAACCCACAGTCCCACACGGACCCACTGCACACACACACACACACACCCAGGATCACCCCAACCCACAGTCCCACATGGACCCACTGTTCATATACACACACACACACACCCAGGATCACCCCAACCCACAGTCCCACACGGACCCACTGTACACACACACACACACGCACACACGCACACACCCGAGATCACCCCAACCCCACAGTCCCACATGGACCCACTGTACACACACACACACACGCACACACCCAGGATCACCCCAACCCACAGTCCCCTCAATTCCGGAGTTGGGAGCGCAGAGCACGGAAAGCCACCCCGCAAGTGTCTAAGGCCTCCCAGCTCCGGCTTGTCCCCCAAATGAGCTCTCACTGGCTGTGTGGCAAGATTGTGAGAAGATTCTAGAGTCAGCAGCCATCCCTGAAAACCACCACTCCGGGGGAGGCAGGAGAGGGAGACCCCGTGGCTGCCGTCTTCCCTGGCCCCTGCCACACTGCCTCACCCACCCATCCCGTGACGGTGCCTTCCTGCCCACCCGCTGGCTCCCGAGCCGGTGGCCTGACTTTTTTTTTTGAGGCTCGACTTTCCCATCTGTAAGATGGGGATAAACCAGAAGGAGCGCTGGCAGCGAGGAGGGGGTGACGAGCAGTGCACTTTGCAGGGGCCCCTGAGGCGGGCAGGGGCGAGACCGAGCCTTCCTCACGCCCTGTGAGCCCAGAGCTGGCCGGTGACGGGGCTGGTGAGGGTTGGATGGTGGAGCCGGGAGCGTGGCCTGGCGGGCGGGATGCTACTCACAGTAGAGGATTTCATAGTCTCCGGAGTTGGACACGAGGAACTGGGAGTTGACGGACCAGTCCAGGTGCGTGATGAAGCTAGAGTGACCCTGGGGAGAACAGGCCGGGTGAGCCTCCGTCACCTGGCGGCGAGGGGCGTGCGGGGGTGCCGGGGCCAGCGGACACTCACGGAGCACTTGCCGAGGCGCGTGTACTTCCTCCCGTTGTCGCTGACCCCGTAGATGTAGATGCAGTTGTCGTGAGAGCCGATGGCCAGGAAGTTCCCGTCTGCAAGAGCAACGAGCGGCGTCTCGTTTTATTGCTTTTGGGGGGCGACACCGCTGCCCCCACAGATTCAGAAAAAACAGCCAGTGTTCGGAATGACCTCAAAGAGGACGGTTTGCTTTCGAGAGAGTCCTAGGCCCCTTCCATCTTTTGAAAACACACTCCTGGCTACAGTATAAAGCTCGGGGCGACTTACAAACTCCCTGTGCCCAAGGTCAGGACATCTCAGAGAACCCTCGGCTGGCCAGCCCCGTGCCCACCACTGAAGGGTGAGTCTCGGCTCCTCAGCCAGGCCCACGGTGACCCCCAGAACGTGCCTCCCCAAAACACGCCCCCACCGCACACACGGGTCCTCCCACCCCGTCCCCCAAACACTGTTGCTAGGCAGGAAGTTAGAAACCAGCCCATCTGTGTGAGAAGGGCCCAAGGAAGCCGACACCTATGGCAGTCAGTATCTGCACCCAGCAGACCCTGACGGGTCAGATTCCAGACGGCCCTGCCCCTTTTACCTGGCCTGATAAACATCTTTCCTCTAGGGTGGGCACCCTGGAGAGAAGGCCCTTAGCCCACGCCAGCAAGGCTTCCCGGTCTGGCAACCTCAGTGGTAAACTTGGAGAGGAATTTTTTGTATTTTCACCCAACAAACCCTTCCACCAGGGCTCCCCACCCTTTGTCCTGGAGGAGGGAAGGGGGAGGGGATAAAGAGACTTCCTGAAAAACCGGGAGTCTAAACAGACTGCGCGCTCAGCCCTCTGCTCTCCGCGCAGCCGCCCGCCAGGCCTGCCCAGGTGTGTTCTCTCCTTCAACCACGTAACCTCGCTCTCCCCCGTCCGAGTGACTGGGCACTGTCTATCCCTTCCGTTCTGACTGATGCCCTACTCAATAAAACCTTATTACTTAACTCTCTGTCTCACGCCTGAATTCCTCCTGCAGGAAGACAAGAGCCCCATGGCTTCCACGGCTCTTTTCTCTGGTGACACTGTCACTTAGTGTCTTCTTCCCTCGTGGTCCCAGGAGGCCTAAGGAAGCAGGCTGTGGCATGCATGTGGCAACACAGAGCAGGGGCTCGCGGTGGTCCAAGAGCAAAACCCGCCCTTGAAGCTGGCAAAGGAGCACTCTCCACCCCCGCAATGTGGCAGCAAAGGGAGGCGGGCCAGGATCACCAGGCAGGAAACTGGGCCGGCCTGGGGTCCCCGGGAAGGTCCAGCCTCCCTGGGCTGGGCAGCAGCAGGAAGGACATGGAGAACCACACAGTAGGGCAACGGGACCCTTGCCCACAGGTGCAGGCTGCCCACGGGTCCTTGGCCTTGTGGACATCACTCCTCTGTCCCTAAAGCACAGCACCGAGAGGACTCCCCAGGGCGACATCAGGAAGTGTCCAGCGGTCATGGCAAAAACCAGAGCTTCGTTTGGTGCCTCTCTCCCTGCCTCCGCCCTCTCTCCCCGCCTCCACCCTCTCTCCCCACCTCTGCCACCCCCCACCCCGCACGCTCAGCCTCCGCCCTCACACTTCGCTGTCCCAAGGCAGGAGTCCTACAGGACCAGGCATGGCCTGGGGCCGTCAGGAGATGGTGTGAGCGAGACTGAGGCGGTCAGAAACCCCCAGGGAATGGGGCCCTACCCCACGGCAGACTTCTACTACAGTATTCTCAATTCACGGTGGGTTTACGGGAAGCCACCCCACTGTAGGTCCACGAGCATCTGTGTGTAAAACTGGGCCCTGCCTGATAGAGAAAAGCAGCCACGGTGAGTGGACACACCGCCCAGCGGCCAGATGCAACCGAGGCCCGGACTGCCGCGACCCCAGGCAGCGCCGTCTCCTCCTGGCCCACACCTTCCCCTCCCCATCTAACTCACCAGGGCGCGTGCCCCAGCTCTCTCTGAGACTCTGACGTGTCTGAAACTTCCTCCACTGGAATAAGTCGGGTTTTGGTGCAAAACAAAGAGCAGCTGAAGAACTCCCAAGGACCAGCGAGCAGGGCCCGGGCCCTGAGAGGACGGAGGCGCGACAGCTGGGGTCTGTGCTCCACTCTGCACTGGAGAGGCAGGGAGACTGCGGGCTCCCATCCACTGCGTCACTCCCCCCAGCACCCGCAGAGCCCAGGCCAGGTCTCCCTTACGGGTGGCAGGGACCCTCATCTGTCAACGCCCAGGGTACATGGTAGCAAGAAGATGGGATTAGGAGCAGAGCGGGGACTTGAACCCAGGCTCTCTAACATGGGCTGGGGGTCCCAACCAGTGGCTTCATGGCTAGGCCAAACGCCTGCCCCGGGGGGCTTTTTTATTGATTGGTTTCCATTGACTGGGGGCTTGCACACAGATTTTTTTTTTTTTTTTTTTGACAGGCAGAGTGGACAGTGAGAGAGAGAGACAGAGAGAAAGGTCTTCCTTTGCTGTTGGTTCACCCTCCAATGGCCGCCACGGCTGGCACAGTGCGCTGATCCGAAACCAGGAGCCAGGTACTTATCCTGGTCTCCCATGGGGTGCAGGGCCCAAGCACTTGGGCCATCCTCCACTGCACTCCCGGGCCACAGCAGAGAGCTGGCTTGGAAGAGGGGCAACCGGGACAGAACCTGGCGCCCCAACTGGGACTAGAACCTGGTGTGCCGGCGCCGCAAGGCGGAGGGTTAGCCTAGTGAGCCGTGGCGCCAGCCTTTTTTTTTTTTTTTTTTGACAGGCAGAGTGGACAGTGAGAGAGAGAGACAGAGAGAAAGTTGCACACAGATCTTAGGCCAGCCCAGCAGCACCGCACAGAGGATAGCGACGAGTCTGGCTTTGCTAAAGGGGGAACGGAGCTCCGGAGCCCGCTGGAGGGGACAGAGCCAGGAGGGTGCAGGCGGGAACGACACCACCTATGGATCGGGAAGCCTCCGTGCTCACCTTCCCAGGGCCTGAAATGACAAGTGAGACCTGTCACCAGCTTGCAGGTGGCAGAACAGCACGGTCTCTGGGGTGGCTGGGCGGCTGCTGGGCAGGTCCGTTTGTCACACAGGGCACCGGGATTTGCTGCTCAGAGACCAGGCTGCTGCACCTGCCTGGGAACAGCCCAGGATGTGGGGGCACCAGGTGGCAGGGGCAAGAGGCAGGCCAGGGGGCAGGGGCTGGGCGGAGGCAGAGGATTTGATGAGAGAAGTGACACCAGTGAGTGCCAGATTCTGATCCACTGTCGTCCAAACAGAAAACACTCACATCTCAGACAGTGATGTGGACCAGAGGAGTGAACAGGTGTAAGGTTGTGAGGTTGGTGCCGTGGCTCAATAGGCTAATCCTCTGCCTTGTGGCGCCGGCACACCGGGTTCTAGTCCCGATCGGGGCGCCGGATTCTGTCCCGGTTGCCCCTCTTCCAGGCCAGCTCTCTGCTGTGGCCGGGAGTGCAGTGGAGGATGGCCCAAGTGCTTGGGCCCTGCACCCCATGGGAGACCAGGAGAAGCACCTGGCTCCTGCCATCGGATCAGCGCGGTACACCGGCCGCAGCGGCCATTGGAGGGTGAACCAACGGTAAAGGAAGACCTTTCTCTCTGTCTCTCTCTCTCTCTCACTGTCCACTCTGCCTGTCAAAAATAAAATAAAATAAAATTAAAAAAAAGGCTGTGGTCCACTGCCCTGGCCCCCACTCGGGTCTTTCTTTTCATGCATGGATTTTTGTCCTAGTTTCATGGGTTAAACCAGAAGAGGCAGGCCAAGTATGTGCAGTTGGATTTCATGAAATTGGAATTATTTTCTTCCTATTTCTGTTCTTCTACAAAAATTAATATAATTTTAAATCCATGAAAACTCCATTTTGTCCGGTCATAAAGTGCTCTAGAAGGTTCCTGATGTGCAGATTAGCAGGAGAATCATCACTGCTACACTTCTGCATCTAAGGAATCTAGGAGGGGCTGGCACTCTGCCAACAATCATACTTATCTGTGGTTTCAAAACAAACCCACGTAACAGTAGCTTGCTAGCATGAGACCATCTTATGTAACATATTTCATAAATAAAAAATTGCTAATAAGGCACAGCTGATGGATACCAGATGGCTGTGGAGATGCTCTTGGTTCCCAGTTCTTGGAGTGCCAAAGGATCCCCCACTCTGGGTGAAGCCACTGCGCACCCTGGGGCTCTGTCGCCTTGCCCAGCCCAGGCAGGCCCCTGACTCCATGACAGCTCCCTCCATGCGCTCACAGAACCAAGAAATGGCAGGAAGGTTGCCCGTAGGTTCACCTTTGCCAGGTAACTTCTTGGCCCCCTGCACACCTGGCGTTGACCTGAAAGATTTACAGAGCAGCCTGGTTCTTCCTGAAGCTCAGCTGTCCACACTCCTCTCTGTGGATTTGGACTGGCGTCTACCCGTGCCACAGAGTACAAAGGAAGCAGTCACCCACAGCGGGGGGCTGGGCTGGGGGCTCCCTGGTCCCACCCCCGCAGCCAGGGAGGACCACCCATGAAGCTTCTGTAGAAGCTAGCCGGCATCCAGAACCCTCCTGAGACTGAGGGCATGAGGACGAGCACTCGTAATTCAGCGGTGACTTCTCTAAGTGTCCCACGGCTCCGCGAGCTAACTGGGAGATGGGCTACATTTCAGGCTGGGATTTTGGCGTGGGCTCCTGGAGTTCCACATCCATGGCAGCCTGTGTCTGAGCATGTTCTCCTATTGTGGTCTAAAGTGTACAAACACTGGAATCTAAGAAGAAGCCAGTGACCCACAAAGGGATAGCCTAGGTGCTGGGAACGTCTTGTGCACAAGGAGAGAACGCACACTGCTGAGCCCGTGCTGCTTGCCCTGGGCAGGTGCACTGTGGTGGGTTCTGAACACACTGACGTGGTCAGCGTTACTGACCACCCACCCATGAGCTGGGCACACAGTGTGCAACAAGTGCGGTCTCTGTGGCCATGGGATTCTGGGTCACTCCCCGAGGGTCTGCGGCCCCCACGCAGCACAGTTCTGATGACATCGCCCGTGACACCTGCCCACTGCCCACGGTCAGCACAGCCACGCCTGCTCCTGCAGTGGAGCCTCCAGTTTGCTGTCTGGCTTGACCAGGTCACCTCGCTAATGAAAAGGGCACCGGATTCAAACGCGGGTGCCTGGCCCCGGCCAAGCTCTCACCTGGGCCCTCCACAGCCCCCAGCCATGACCCAGAAGCCCAAGAGTCAGAGCTCCTGGTAGAAAGAGCCCCCGGGTCTCCAGGGAGCAGTCATCAGTGTCAGCGACAAGACCTGGGAAGTCCGCAAAGGCTCTGCTGGCGGCGGCAGGTGACAGATGCTGGAGACCAGGCCCTCCTGCAGGCGGAAGAGGCCCCGAACAACTAAGAAAATGATGATGAGACAGAATATGGGCTAGAATGAGCAGAAAGAAACGCAACAGTTCAGAGGTCACGCGTCAGATGCATCCTGGGTCAAGTGCACCTGGTCCCCAGGTTGCTGGGTGAGAGGCCATGACCTCTGCTCTGGCACAAGGAAAAGGCATGTAAAAGGCGCCCTTCCTATAAGAGCTGGAGACCACGGTCCTACCACGAGGCAGAGACGACACCGCCAAGTTATCAAACAGAGGGGTCCAGGGGGCAGTGGAGCTCAGCCTCGGCCACGCACTTCCGTGGACCAAAGCCACAAGTTTCCACAGTGTCAGCACTGCCAGGTGTCCCACACATCACAGAAAAATGCTACTTTCTAAACCAATCACGCAACACAAAGCCTTACAAACACCCACCCAGTAGCAGTGAGCGCTCCCAGCACCCACCCTGTCAATTCCAAGCCTCAGTTCATGCACAAAACGGACCGCGAGCACCTGGGAGAAACAGCTGAGGTACGTCTAAGGCAAGCACATGGGGGCGGGCGCTGGGCACAGTGGTCAGAATGCACTTGGGAGGCCCACAGCCCGTGTCACAGGGCCTGCATTCGATCCTGACTCCACTCCTGGTTCCAGCTTCCTGCTAATGTGCAGCCTGGGAGGCAGCAAGGGATGGCTCCGGTCCTTGGGTCCCTGCCACCCACGTGAGAAGTCCAGATGGGGTTCCCGGCTCCTGGCTTCGACCTGGTCCAGCCCCAGCAGTTGCCAGCATTTTCAGAGTGAACCAGTATACCGAAGATTGTTTCTCTCTCTCTTTCTCTGCTGCCTACCCCTCTGCTTTTCAAATATATACAAACAAATAAAAAAAATTTTTTTAATGTACAAGATGATCCTGGAACAACCTGTTATGCCAGCTCACAGGGAATAACGGAATACAGGTCAGTTCACAACAACTCAAGAGTCAATCTGAGTGGTATGCACCAGCCATAAACCGTTCTACCTGTGGTTATAGCTTGAATAGGTATAAACACCACACACGCACACACACAGAGGAGCTTCAAAAAGCTCATGGAAAACAGAATGAAAAACTAATTTTTGGTGCAAAAATATTTTGAAATCCACGCATATGGGGGTTTTCAATAAGTGTGTGGAAAATGTACATGAGAGAACCATGCACAGATTTCAAAATTCCTTGTTCTAAAATAACCATTTTTTAAAAGACTTATTTTTATTTATTTGAAAGGCAGAGTTAGAGAGAGGAGAGAGAGAGAGAGAGAGAGAGAGAGAGAGAATCTTTTATCTGTTGGTTCACTACCCCAAATAGCTACAACAGCCAGGGCTGGGCAAAGCCAAAGCCAGGAGCCAGGAGCTTCTATGGGTCTCCCAGAGGGGTGCAGAGGCCCAAGCACTTGGGCCACCTTCTGCTGCTTTCCCAGGTGCATTAGCAGGGAGCTGTACTGGAAATGGAGCAGCTGGGACACAAACTGGCACCCATATGGATGCTGGCATCTCAGGCAGCGGATTAACAAACAAAGCCACAATGTCAGCCCCCAAAATAAACTTCTTTTAAAAAAAACTTTTAGATGTATAGAGACAGGAAAAGAGAGAAAGCAAGAGAGAGAGAGAGAGAGAGCGAGCACTCCACCCCCCAGTCACTGGCTCACTCCCCAAACGTCTGCAAAGGCAGGGGCTGGGCCACAGCTGAAGCTGGGAGAACCCAACCTCAGCCTCCTACAGGGGTGGCAGGAACCCAGTTCCGGGAGCCATCACTGCTTCCCAGGTCTGCATTAGCAGGAAGGAGGAGTCAGGAACCAGGGGAGATGAGTCCACGCACTTCAATATGGGATGTGAGTGTCTACTGTTAGGCTCAATGCCTGTCCTCGTACAGGGCATCCTTATCCCTACACCTTCCCTGTGTCCCCTGGGACCAGGCAAGGGACGTGCTCTTGCACTTTTGTTTACCATTTTACTGGAGCTATTAGCTAACACAATAAGGAAAAAGTAACTAGAGGCACCCAGATTGCAGAGGAAGAAGGAAAACTGTCTTTGTTTGTGACAAGATCCTGTACCGAGAGAAGGATCCTAAAATTACACATACCCCAAAACTAATAAACGAGTTAAGAGAGGTCAAAGACTGGAACCTCCATGGGCAAAATCAATTTTATTTCTACAAACCAGTAGCTAATAATCTAAAAATAAAATCAGAAAGAACTCCATCCACAGTGGCATAAAAACAATTTAGGAATAAATTTAACAAAGGAAGTGTAAGACTTGTACACCAAAAAACTTACATATTGCTAAGAAAAATTAATAGAAAATTAAAATAGAAATATAAACAGACGTTTCCTATTCATGAGTTAGAAAGCTCAGTATCATCAATCCAGGTAGCAATCCTCCCCATACTGATCTATAAGTTTGACAAAATCTCTATAAAATCCCGGTAGTTCATTAAAATTCAAAATTGTCAAGCTGACCCTAAAGGTCAGGTGAAGACAACAAGACAGGCAAACCAATCGTGAAAGAACCAGAGTTGGAGGAGTTACACTACTCTATTGCAAACTTCCTCTAAAGCCACAATATTCAGGACTGGGGTGGGCACAAGGAAGGACATGGGTGGGAGCAGCACTGAGGGTGAGGAATGAGCCTCCACGTGTATGGCCGACTGGTTTTGGCCACAGTGTCAAGGTGAGTCAGTGGGGAGCAGTCTCTTCATCTCGGGGGGCTGTGACGACTGGATAGCTACGTGCACAACAAATAACCCAATTCTTGCCTCTCACCGTACGCAAGAATTAGCTCAAATGCACCACAGACCTAATGCAAGGGCCAAGACAGCAGCACTTAGGAGACAGAGCATAGGAGAAAATCTTCCTGATTTTGGGTATGATATCAGAAACATGATCCATAAAAGAAAAAATTGATGAATCAGACTTTATCAAAATGTGCTTGAAAAGATCACATTAGGGGGCTGGTGCTATGGTATAGCAGGTTAAAGCCCCAGCCTGCAGTGCCAGCATCCCATATGGGTGCCAGTTTGAGTCCTGGCTGTTACACTTCCAATCAAGCTCTCTGCTATGGCCTGGGAAAGCAGTAGAAGATGGTCCAAGTCCTTAGGCCCCTGTACCCACGTGGGGGGACCCAGAACAAGCTCCTGGCTCCTGGCTTTGGATTGGCACAGCTCTGGCTGTTGCAGTCACTTGGGGAGTGAACCAGTGGATGGAAGACCTCTCTCTCTCGCTCTCGCTCTTGCTCTACCCTTCTCTGTAACTCTGCCTTTTAAATAAATAAACCTTAAAAAAAAAAATAAAAAGTCCAAGGAATGCAGATACCAGAACCCTCACCCACTGTGAAACAGCACAGCCACTCCAAAGCACAGTTTGTAGTTTCAGAAATGCTAACATCGATTCACCCAAGGGGGCCGAAAGACAAAGTGCACAGGAAGACACACACACCAGGGTGCGCACCGCGGCATCGTTCCCAACCATCACAGCCAGAAGCAGCTCACAGCTCCGTCACCTGACGGAACGCGCTTTACCCACAGCATGGGATTCCACCCAGCAACTGAAGAGGAACAGGCGGCTCACACACACACACACACACACACACGCCGACCACAAAAGCATCGCCCTAACTGTGAGAAGCCAGAAGCCACAGGCCACGTATTGTCTGGCTCTGTTTATGTCTGTGGGGAGAAGGCAGCTTACAGAGACAGGAGGCAGATCACGCACCGGCTGCCTCGGACCCGGGGCCGGGGTGCACGCGAATCGTTTATGGGCAGGGAGGAAGCCTCCCGGGGTGATGGGCAGGCTCTAAAGCTGGATTATGGTGCTGGCTGCACAACTCCATGAATTTACGAAGAATCATTAAATTGCACGCGTGTAATAGGTAAACTCTTGTGTGTAAATTCTCTTAACAAAGCTGGTAAAGAGCCCTCGTCTTGAGCTGCATAAAACACTATTAACAGATGAAAGGACCAGGGCCTGGAGCTGCTCTGGCAGATCACGGGAGGAGGGGCAGACGGAGGATCCTGGGTGGGGCGGCGTCACTAGTCCAGGGGGTTCACAAATTTTTAAAACACCCGAGCAGAGTGACCCGACGGAGGAAGAGAACCCCAAAGCGCACGTGTGATTTAAACCCAGCCTGAGGAGGCCTGTGAGGGAGTTTCTGGACGGCACCTGCACACGACTCAGCATTTTGGGGGAATCTGAGAGCAGTGAGGCTGGGGCTCTAACCTGGTGAGTACCGCATGACAGACAGCTGCTCGTTCCCATCCGTGTGGACGGTGACCAGGTCCTTCGTTTCCGTGTCGAACACAAACCACCTGTGGCAAAGGTGAGACAAGCACAGTGAGGCGTCCAGTGGCGAGAAGCAGCTGTTGCAGCGACACCGAGCCCACCAAATCCGCCGCGAGGGCTTAACCAGCACTGTGTGTGTGTAACTTCCCAGCTCTGCGTCATGGAACTGCCTACACACACACACGTCCCGAGGCTGTGGCCGGAGAGCGAGCCCGGGGCAGGAAAACGGAGGATGCCCAGTGCCAGCGCTCAGGACCACCTGCCACAGCTCACCCAGGGCAAGGCAGGCCGGTCCCAGAGTCTGGTCCTCCGGCACCTGCTCGAGGGCAACCAGCAGGGGGCAGGAGAGGACAGAGGCCTGGGAGAAGGCGAGCAGGGGGCTGTTCTTGGGCTGAACCTCTCTGCGCCCAGCTGCCTCAGCCGTTCAGGAGCTTGGTGCTAAGGCAAACTTACAACAGACGTGGAAGTCTCTGTGCCCTCTGATTAGGACCCAAGACTCGCCGATGGCTGCCCTATGTCGGGGTGACTGAGCCGCCTGCCCCTCACACCCTCAGGTGGAGGCAATGGGTGGGACCTGGCAGCCCAGGGGTGACAAGGCACAGGGGCTCCCTGCTGCCGCCATTTCACACCGAGACACGGACTCCCCCTCGGTGCCCCTCCCGTGCCCACTTGCCAGGACCTCCGTCCCCACTGGAATCTGATCTCGTGCCTCGGCTTTGATTCCTTGCCCCTTTAACAGCTGCTTACTTTTAACGCTCTATCTAACCGTCCTGGGGGGCAGCCTAGAAAGCATCTGGAACGTCCTATTAAATTGACAGCAAAAGGAGCTGAGCCTGGCTGGGGCCCAGGCATGCGGAGGCACGGGTGGAGGGGACAGCCTAGGACACTGCCTGTGACCCTGAGCGTGTCGGCACGCGCCACCGCGGATCAGCAGATGACAGCGATACCCCTCCACCAGTGTGGAGCCTGCTGAGCAGAGCATAAACTGTCTCGGAGGAAGGCAGGGCGGGCTGTGGCACGTGTGTGTGCACGTGTACACACGTGTGCGTGAGTACATGCACATGCATTCCCGTGTGTCACTGGCACACTCTCAGGAAGAATCCGGCTGCGTACATGGACTCCAACTCCTGAGATGCTGCCACCTACGACTCGCCGATGCTACTCCCTCCTCATGCCTCCTCTGCAGTGCTGACGGAATCTAAGCGACTCACCCAGAGCCAGCGCTCGGGGGAGGGGCAGCCCTCCCTCCCTCCTCCGCAGCTTTGTGTCCCACGGTCCGAGTTACCCACAGTCAACCACGGTCCTAAGTACCAAATGGAAAGTTCCAGAGTTCGGCGATTCCTGGGTGTTCCATCGCATGCTGCTCTTCTCCATCCCCCCCCCACTTCCTCTTGGGCAGGCACTGTGCCAGCTCACATCACAACAAGAGAGACGGGCAGGGAGAGAGCGGCCACAGCCAATTGCTGTTAGACCACGCAGTGATCTAAGCGCTCCAGCTTCTTATTAGCTGTTGTTGCTAACCCCTTGCCAGGCCTACTTTAAAATTCACCTTGCTCACAGGTGGGTATGTACAGGGAGAACACAGGGTACCAGGTTCCAGGCACCCACTGGGGGTCTTGGGATGTATCCCCCATGCTGTGTGTGGGGGGGGGGCGCTGCTGTTCCAGGACAGACGCAACAGAAAGCTCTGATCCAAGCCCCCCACCATGGCCCGCCAGGCAGCCCCAGCAGACGCTCTGCCTGCCTCCTGCCGGAGGAGGGCGGCATGGCCAGGCCAAGGCTAGTGTCAGCCTCTGTAGGAACACAAATCCAGAGTTTCCATCACTGGCTCAGGACACACTGCTGCTGTTGCCGGGCAAAGCTGGGATTCCGACGCAAACCCCCTGCCTGGCACGTGGGGGCCACTCGGGGAATCGACCTCAGTGGAGTCACAGCATGAGGTCAGGGTCTGGGCAGTGTGGACAGTTCTGACAGAGGAGCGGGGAATGGCACGGCTGAGACTTCAGCACGTGAGATGCTTTCTTGCCCCACTCCTCTCGCAGGCCTTAAGGAGCTGAACAGGTGCTCTGAGACTGCAGGCAGGGTGGTGCATGTGTGTGTGTGTGTGTGTGTGTGTGTGTATGTGAAAGAGAGAGAGAGAGAGGGAGGGAGGGAGGGGAAGGGTAGACGGCACGTTTACAGGAGGGCCCACAGCGTTCCTCAGGTTTGTCCCAAGGCTCAGAACGGCAGGGACCACCATCGTGAGTTCTGCCTTTGAGTCTCGACTTCATTCTCAGAAGTCACTAGAAGCTGTGCCCAGCCCTGGGGGAGCAGACCACACGCCTCTTGCTCATGAGGTCACGCGGGTCTGGACTTACCTCCCGGTCAGTGTTCCAACGGCAACCACAGACCCTGAAGGATGAAAACCAGAAGACTGAGCTGGATCCTAAAATGTTGTAAAGGGAGTGTAAATCGATGGCCCGACACAGCACTGCAGCATACAACACACAGCTCTGACCGCTCAGGGCGACGCGGTCTTCGCAGTCTCTTTCCTCCCCAGAGAAGGAAACGCAGCCTCCTTGCCACCTTCATTTTTTTAGAGGTTTTATCTTTTCCTCTTTTATCTTCGTGTACCCACAGCAACCGGACAAAAAGACAAACGAGGGCAGACTCTGGTTCCAGGTCGGGGGTTCTGTAACCCACTCCTGATGCTGACCCCTGCCCTGAACGGCCAGCCCTTCACACACCTGCCTGACCGGCTTGGAAACGCGACCCCTGCACAACTCCAGGACAAAGACGCTCGGGGTGAATTGCAGGTTCTGAGCCAGTCACAGACTCTGACACACGTGGCAGGTGATGGACAGACACACACCAGGCCCCCGTGAGCCACAGTGGGTGCCGGGCCAGGCTTCTCAGGGCAGAGCCCTGCTCGAGGCCTTCGAGTGGTGGGGGCAGTGGGCTTGCGATTACTTTTGGATCAGAGATTATGGGGCAACAGTAGGGTCACAGCTGGAGGCAGTCAGCTGTGGGCCCACCGGGGATGGTGGTGGAGGCTGTGGGGTTCACAACACGGAGTCTGCAGGGTGAGGAGCGAGGAAGGCTGGGGCTGCACTGCCACAGCGCGGCTCTGGCCAGCAGGAGGTAGAAGGCGGTGGAGGCCTCCTCCTTCCAGTGAAAGGCGCGGACTGGCCGGATCCGTGTTTCACATGGGCACTCGCTCGGTGGAGGTGAGTCACAGCAAGGCCAAGGCGGCCACAGCAACGGAAAGGGAAGAGGAGGCCTGGCCACCACTGGACCCACAAACAGAGCCCAGACACTGGCCCCACTATTCAATGCTTCTCCCCCAAGAGGGAGCTGTCAGGAGGGCCAGGGCTGCCCCTGGCAGGTAAGCAGAGCTGCTCAAGCCCACTTGAAGCGGTGCCACTCACAGAGCACTTCCGGGCCTCCCGCCAACTCCAAGATGGAGATGGAGGCACCCAGAGGCCCGGTGCTCCTGCTGGAGGCCACACAGGTGGCTTCCAGGCCAGAGCCCTGCCCTCCTACCAGGCTAAGCGCTTAGCAGCCTGCTGTGGGCAGGGACGTGGAAGGGCAGTCGCTGGTGTGGCAGGGCCGCCCTCTGGGCCACTGGTGCCCTGCCGCATCTGCTGGCTGTGGTCACTTCTGCCAACCTCCTACATCTCCCCTGGTCCCATTATTTCTGCCCCTCACCACGGGGCACAAGCAGAACACAGAACACTCTTCTGTAGCCCATCCCAGCATCAAGGCCTACACAGCGCCTTCCTCTGCACGCAGTGTCCACCCCAGGGACCAACGCCCCCTGCCCCCTCTGAAAGCAGAAGAAATGGAGCCCCACAGCCCGAGGAGCACCTGGGAGCAGCCTCCAGGGCAGCGGCTCTGCAGGGCTCTGGTTCCTCCTCTGGGGCTGTCTGTGCTCTCTGCGGCGTGGTGCAGAGCAGAGCCTGGGCGTGACCGCACGTAAGCCCTGCTCTGTCGCTTACTAACGCAGGGACCCTGGCACCCCATTCGGCTTCTCTAAGCTTCGACTTCCTGATCAGTAAGATCAGAGTGAGAAAACCCTCCAGGCTGCAGAGCTGCCGTGAGGACGAAGGCTAACGTGCGTGCAGGGCCCAAGGAAAGGCATGGCTGTGTACACATGGGGAGGGGCAGCTGGACGCTCAGAGGGAGCGTGAGTTCCTTCGCAGCGTGCACAGGGTCGCCAGCTCTCCAGCCAAGGCTCCCCCGTGCCAGCAAACTCACAGCACTGGGATGCACTAAGCTGTATGTTTCCTGCACAGCTTGTAAATCCCCATTCAGAAGGGACCTGAAACAGGAGGCAGCTCCTACACGGACATCGCAGTCCTGCGACCAGTGCCGAGTTTCCACATTCACCTTGGCAAGCTCAACAATGACCTTGAGTTCTATGTGCATGGGACCACCCCAGGCAATGAATGCAATGCAGATCTAAAGAGACAAATTAAGTGACATTTGCTTTGGGACAATTTCGTATCACTATTAAGTGCATGCAAAAATAAATGGACTTTGTTCCCAATGAGCTGTTTTTAAGAAAAATGGAAACATAACACGCATGGTTACCTCTATTATCTTGTCCCAGACAGGCCGGTGACCCACAGCGTCCCAGAGAATGGCGTGCTTGTCGTGCCCACAGGTCAAGAACTGAGGTTTGGAGGCATGGATGGCCAGCCCCCAGAGCTCGTCAGTGTGGCCCTACGCAAACAGAGACAGACAAGGGCTCTCTCTGACTCTGGTCGACACTCCGGGCTTCTGCCCTCCCCCACCCGCTGGAGGGGGTCATCTCAGTGTGGGGCGTGGGAGGAGGAGTGGCTCAGACAGAGTGTAGCACGTGTGATGGGCCTGCTGGGCAGGCTGTACCTGAGTGATGGGCGCAAAGTCCCCGGCCAGCGTGCCCTGTAGCACGAAGTTTCTGGTTGTGCCTATCAGGATGACGTCTCCTTTCCCCTTGGCCACTGTCCGTATTGGACCAAACTGTTCTGGGATCTACATGGGAAAGAGGCATAGAGGAAGAAAACATTTAAAAGGACATTAAGCCGTTAGCTCAGTCATTCAAAATACAGTCATTCGGGGCCAGTGCCATGGCACAGCTGATTCAAGCTCTAGCCTGCAGTAATGGAATCCCACATGGGCACCAGTTCGAGTCCCGGGTGCTCTACTTTCTATCCAGCTCTCTGCTGTGGCCTGGGGAAGCAGTGAAGATGGCCCAAGTCCTTGGGCCCCTGCACCCGTGTGGGAGACCCGGAAGGAGCTCCTGGCTCCTGGCTCAGCTCAGCTCTGGCTGTTACGGCCATTTGGGGAGGGATCAAGCTGAATGGAAGACCTCTCTCTCTCTCTCTCTCTGGCTTTACCTCTCTCTGTAACTCTTTCAAATTAAAAAAAAAATCTTAAAAAAAAAAACGAAACAGTTGTTCATCAATATTGATAGGGGGCAGGGCTGGTTCCAGGACCTTCTGTGGACACCACAGTTGGCCGATGATCAGGGCCCCTGTATGAAACAGCGCAGTGTTTACACAGAATGTTTGGGAGAGTGACCAGCAGATAGAAGATCCCCCCTCCTTCTGTAACTCTGCCTTCAAATAAATACATCATTTAAAAATAAAATTAAAAATAAGAAAACACTTTTCTTGACAATATTAGAAATGAGGACCATTCTGGGCTACTTCACTCTTCGCTTGTTGCGACGTGATAGGCGCAGCCCAAAGACTTCAAAACACTGTAGTGCAACTTAAAACAGTGCGTTCTCTGGCCTGGTCACTCTGTTCGGTGTTAAAGCCCAGTGTGGATGCTGACGAACACACAGGATGGTCTAAACGCTAAGACCCAGATGTTCTAGACCCGCATGCGCCCTGATCATCAAGGTCTGTGCCCGTGAAAGGAGCAAAGGCGAGCACTGGAGCCAGCGGGTTGATGCTGGCCAGGAGGGGGTGGATTCCAGGACCTCGGGCAGCAGCCCTGCCTTCGCCCACACCCTCTCCCTCTCACACAGCCAAGGCTGACCCCTGCTGGCAGAGGAGGCCACGTGGTTTCCCCACGGCTGCTCCTGGCCGCCGCGGGGACCTCACGACTGTCACCAGATGTGTTGCATCATAGAATACAACTTCATGCCAACAACTTCAGAGCTGCAGACTCAAGTGTTCAGATTCCCAGGGAAAAGGCCAAGGGCGACAGCCTCAGGGTCACGAGTTCCTGCAGCAGTGTTTGCGGACTTACCTCTGTTTTGTGAAGTTTTTGGTAGTTCCCATTCCAAGATATGAGCTTTCTATCCTTGCCTCCTCCCGACACCAGGGTGCCATCTCTTAACATACAGAGTGCAAAAATGCCGCCTTCGTGGGCCCCTTGAACTGCATGGCTTATTCGGTTCGTACCTAGACACGCGGGGAAAGCCATGACTAGCACGTTATCCCAAGGCTCACCTCTGCCCACTTTCCAATCCCATTCCATTCTCATTGTAAGGTGACGTGGTCGGCTAGAACACCATCGTCATAGGGACCTGGACGTTCTCGGGGCGGCTGACAAGCGCACACAGGGCCACTGGGTGATGAGGGAGGCGTGCCAGCAGGTGTCCAAGCGCCACGCGGTTGAGCCTCCATCCTGTACCACCTCACCCCGCTGAGCTGCGCCCCTTCAGTCCAGTGACTTGGCTGCTCTGCCTCTCAGCTGCCCCCTTCCTGCACTGGGGCTGCTGCTCGCCCCGCAGGACTGTTCTACGGGTACGACGAACCCTGGAGGGAGCACCAAGAGCAGGAGGGAGACTGAAGGTCGCCCGGTGATCCTGAAATGACACCGGTGGCTCTGTCTCCATCTTTGGCCTCAACCCTGAGGACAGGGTGGGTATGTCCCCTCGTCCTGGCACCTGGGCAGCACCCATCACTGCTCCCCCGGCCTCACTGAACATGTGTGAGTGTCGAGCCAAAGGAGGCCTCCCAGCTGACTCGCTGGAACACCTACAGCACCCAGCACCTGCCTGGCACCCCACAAATGGCTGCAAGGAGCTCTGTGCACCAGAAAAGATCCTTAAGCATTTTATAGCACCACGGTCACTACTAACTTCACCACAGACTAGAGACTTCACTGTAGACTCCCAGTAAAGCCACCGGCCCCATCGTCACGGCCCGGGCTGCAAGAACTTTTGGAGGATGTGAGGTCCACAGCTCCGCCATGCCCAGTCTCGCTCTGTTCCAGTTCTGTTTCAAGTTGCGGACGCTCACACGTATGCCTACACAACTCACGCTCACACGCATGCATACATGACTCACATGCACACGGATGCATGCACGACTCACGCTCACACGTATGCCTACACAACTCACGCTCACACGCATGCATACATGACTCACACTCACACGGATGCATACACAACTCACACTCACACGGATGCATGCGTAACTCATACTCACACGGATGCATGTGTGACTCATGCTCACACGTATGCATACATGACTCACGTGCACACACATGCATACATGACTCACGCTCACACACATGCATACATGACTCACGCTCACACACATGCATATATACTCATGTGCACACATGTGCCTACACAACTCACACTCACACGTATGCCTACATGACCCACGCTCACACACATGCATACATGACTCACGCTCACACATATGCTACGTGACTCATGCTCACACGCATGCATACACAACTCACACTCACACGGATGCATGTGTAACTCATAATCACACATATGCATACATGACTCACATGCACACATATGCCTACGCAACTCACACTCACACGTATGCCTACATGACTCACACTCACACATATGCTACATGACTCACGCTCACACGCATGCATACACAACTCACACTCACACGGATGCATGCGTAACTCATAATCACACGGATGCATGTGTGACTCATGCTCACACATATGCATACATGACTCACGTGCACACATGTGCCTACACAACTCACACTCACACGTATGCCTACATGACTCACGCTCACACGCATGCATACATGACTCACGCTCACACGCATGCATACATGACTCACGCTCACACGTATGCCTACACAACTCACGCTCACACGGATGCATGCGTAACTCATAATCACACATATGCATGCGTGATTCATGCTCACACATATGCATACATGACTCACGTGCACACATGTGCCTACACAACTCACACTCACACGTATGCCTACATGACTCACACTCACACGGATGCATACACAACTCACACTCACACGGATGCATGCGTAACTCATACTCACACGGATGCATGTGTGACTCATGCTCACACGTATGCATACATGACTCACGTGCACACACATGCATACATGACCCACGCTCACACACATGCATACATGACTCACGCTCACACACATGCCTACATGACTCACACTCACACATGTGCCTACATGACTCACGCTCACACGCATGCATACATGACTCACGCTCACACACATGCATATATACTCATGTGCACACATGTGCCTACACAACTCACACTCACACGTATGCCTACATGACTCACACTCACACATATGCCTACATGACCCACGCTCACACGCATGCATACATGACTCACGCTCACACGTAGGCCTACACAACTCACGCTCACACGGATGCATGCGTAACTCATAATCACACATATGCATGCGTGATTCATGCTCACACATATGCATACATGACTCACGTGCACACATGTGCCTACACAACTCATACTCACACGTATGCCTACATGACTCACACTCACACATATGCCTACATGACTCACGCTCACACACATGCATACATGACTCACGCTCACACGTAGGCCTACACAACTTGGACTTTCACAGCACTCCTGCCAATCCACGAACAGATGATTCTCACAGACTTCACTTTTTGACTCTTTTGACATCGCCAAGGCATCCCCGGCTCCGAGAATGGCCCCTTACGGTTACCTTTTCCCCACACTAAGATGTTGCCGCTTGAATCTCCAGTGATGGTGTCACCGTTTTCAGAAAACGTCACACAGAGGACAAACTTTGGCTTCTCTTGTTTCTGCAGAACACAGTAAACAGAACACGTATCCTATCAAGTGTGAACTGGAATCAGAGTAACCCCAAGCGAGACCGGGGCAGCACACCGTGTGCCCTTTGGTTCTCGTCCACTGTGGCATAACCCAGCCCAGGTGGTCAACTGCTCCACACCAAGAAGTGCCCGGCTGGGATCCACGAGTTGCAGACAGGTTGAGAGGGGAGGGTGCTGGAGGGGTCAAAGGGCGCTGTGTCGCTGCAGCTGCAGCCTCGGCACAGAACCCTGGTGCCCAAATAAAGGGGTCCTGGTGCCCTCACGAAGCCCTCATGTGGCCTCCCATCCTTGGAAAGACAGAGGCCCACTGCCCCACGGGCCCTCTTTCTGCTGGCTGGGCAGGGTCAGCCACCCATGGTGTAGCTCTGCCCATCTGGGCTCTCCCGGGCTGGCTCCACCCTCCACCACTTTATCCACAGACACAAGGCCTCCCCAGCCCCGTGAGGGACCCTGAGGACAGTCTTTCTTTGTGCACCCCCTCCACCGAGGCCAGGAAAACAGGCATTAAGACAGGGGCACCTCACAGCCCCCCGAAAACCTCACCCCTCAGCTGCAGCAGCCAGGGGAGCTGAGCTTTACCTCGAACAACCCTTGCTTCTTAATGAGGGAGCCTCCTTCCAGGGTCCAGAAGTAGAGGTGCGACTTCCCGCAGGTCACGATGACGCTGGCGTCCGTGGGGTGGAAATCGGCGGCGAACACCGCCTCGTTAGAGCACTTCAACAAAGCAGAGAACCAGACGCTTCAGGGCTCTCATCTGAACCTCGCACACACACATGCACACACGCACGCACACAGCTCATCCAGGCCGGTGAGCTGCCTCCCAACTCAGTCCCCACGGCCTGCTCTTGCTGTAAACCTTACACGTGGACTGGCCGCGTGCCCCAACCTCCCCTCCTTGTCTGCTTCTCCAAGGCGGGGAGCTCCCTCCTTGGCCAGGGCCTCCCCCAGGGCCAGCCTGGAGCAGGCCAGCAGCAGGCTTTGCTGGAGGGGCTGGCCCAGAGCAGCAGGGACTCGGGAGCTGTGAGCATCTCTTCTCACCTTCTAGGGCTGGGTCCCCAGCCGGGCTCAACCACGAATCACCTGACACGTGTTAAAGCGCAGATCGCTAAGCCTCGCCCCATCTGCGATCAGAAACTTCAGGGAGGGGCCCAGGAATCTGCATTTTCTACAGCTCCCTCGTTCCTGGCTGACACTGTTGCCCTGCTTCCCCTGAGAGCCCTCCCCGAGTCTGTCTGGGGCTTGCTGGTGGCCAGCCCCGGGGCCCCCCACGGTGGGGCTGCCACTTCATCTCCCACAACCCAAATCCCAGTGTCCTGACTGCTGCCTCCACTTAGTAGCTCCACTGCACATTCTGGAATACGAGTAATAACTCGCCTCTGGTTGCGTCCAACCTGGCAACATAGCCGGAACCTTGCAAACACCTGACCAGACCTCAGCAGGTATAAGGACAGGTGTTAGGACACACGCCTGATTAGAACACAAGGTCTACCTCCAGACACACATGAGAGAACGTTAGGGAAGCGGGGTTATGGGACGGTTAACTCTAGTGTAGGTATGTTGGGTTATCTAATGGTGATGTTAGGAAAGTAGGGTTACCTAATGGCACAATCCTAACATCAGACAAGTAAGGTTATCTAAGGCTGACAGATGCCAGAATCAGGACTCTGAAGTCTATAGTTTCTATAGAAACGGGGATTCTAATGATGACTTAGGTTCTAATGATGAAGAACCTATGGGAGTTTAGGAAAGTCAATTTGACATTTTGTGCAAAATAGATTAGAGGCAGTAAAAGAAGTCAGGGAGGAGGCGCCTCGGGGGATTTGGGATGAGGCCAGTGGCTCCAGGTCTGATCTGCTTTGGCTGAGGCCCTAGGCTGCAGCATGCCTAAGCCTCAGGTGTGCCGGCATGCACCTGCCCCGCCCCGCCCCGCCCCTGTCTCCCCCCATCCCTGCTGGAGAGGCTCATGGACAGTGAGCACACCTCCCTCATCACCCCCCCACACACACACACTGTGTGAGCCCAGAGCAGCACTGGGGCTTTGTCAAGTGGGTGAAAGAGAAAGTGAACAAATACGTGACTGAATTAAAAGGGTAGTGGCCATGCAATGAGGATGAAAGAAATGCCTCCCAGACGTGCAGAAAGGAAAAGACCCTGACAGGACCAGGGAATGGTGTCCTGCAGGGGAGGGGGCAGGGGGCAAAGGACTCTAAGGGGGAGGTGTCCCGCCCACAGGCAGCAGGAAACGGGGGAACCAGCTCGGTGTGGGTCGGAGTGGGGGGACAAGACCAGCACAAGGCTTGAGGCGACACCTTCACGTCGGCCAGTCTCTCCTCTTTCTGCCAGTCCCACACGGACAGCACGTGGTCGTTGGAGTCATCCACGGCACAGAGGTTGCTTCCTCCGTTCTGGAAAGAGAAAGTTATTCACAGGAAGACTGTGTGTGAGAATAAAATGGGCTGAACATGATGAATAATGAGCGCAAATTCAGCTTTTGATAAAGAAGTCGCTACATGGTCATTGGGGAATGTCCACCCCTGGCTTCTGACACCTGCAGGTGAGCTTGGGATAATGCAGGGACAGGAGTGGCACGGAGAGGGGCCGGGGTGGCCCTCAACAGGCAGGTTCCATGAAAACCTGCCCCACAGGGGGCCAGAGCTCTGCTCCCAAAGGTGCGGGCCGCAGCCAGAGAAGCGCAGGGCCACGGAGGCCTGTCGACTGGGATGCGAACAGGTGCGCGGCTGTGCGAATGCAGGTTTCTGCGCTGGCTGGCGGGTGGTGTGAACGAGCCTCAGGGCAGGGCTGCTGAACTGGCACGTGCCTAGGTAGCCTGGAAGACCGCAGGCCCTGTTCAATCCCTGCCTGGGGGAGGCTGGGAGCCTGCTTGGAGGGGGCGGTAGAGGTGCTGCAGCCGCTTGTGAAGGGAGCAGGTGGGATCAAGGCCAGAGCAGGCAAACTGCCTTAAGGGATGCAGGACAGTGTCCTGGGGTGGGGTCGGAGGAGACGCTCTTTGCATCAGCAAGTTCTCAGGGCTGGAAATGCCTGGCTGGAAGTGTGTGTCCCTGATGGCTCGTGTGTGTGACCTCTGAACGGGGGACCAGGGAGGCAGGAAACTTTGAGCTCAAAGCTGCATGTGCACGCGGTCAGCGGTGGGCGAGCTAGCACTCTCCCTCTTCAACCTCGAGTTCTTTTCTCTCCTCCCTCTGGACTAAGACTGCACGACCCACAGGGCTTGTACTTACAGATTTTGAGAACGCGATACAGGTGACGGCGCGGTCAAAAAACCCCACTCCAATGACGTGGAGGGTATTCAGCGTCACCGAGTCCCAGATGCGCACGTGTGGGGGCAGTTGCTGTCGTGAAAAACCCGAGTCACCAGCTGTGACGGCCGCACAAGTTTATCTTTCCCTTGAGCTACAAGATGACCTCATGCCTGGTTCCGGCTATGTTGCCAGGTTGGACGCAACCAGAGGCAATAACTTCGATTTTGTCCAAACAAATGGTCTTTTTCTGCATTTGGGAGGTGTGCCCTTTCCCCATAGCTGCAGGAGGCCATGGGCATGGTGGCCAAATGAAAAATTAAGACAGGTGTACCAAGTTTTAAATTTTATTATTATTTTTTAATTTATTTGACGACAGGTAGAGTTATAGACAGTGAGAGAGAGAGAACGAGAGAAAGGTCTTCCTTCCGTTGGTTCACTCCCCAAATGGCCGCTACGGTGGGAGCTGCTCCAATCCAGAGCCAGGAGCCAGGTGCTTCTTTCTGGTCTCCCATGTGGGTGCAGGGCCCAAGCACTTGGTCCATCCTCCACTGCCCTCCTGGGCCACAGCAGAGAGCTGGGCTGGAAGAGGAGCAACCAGGACTAGAACCCGGCACCTATATGGGATGCTGGAGCCATAGGCAGAGGATTAACCAAATGAGCCACGGCACCAGCCCTGGGGTAATTCTTTTAGAGTGTGTTTTGTTGCTAAGGTCAGCATGTCTAAAGTTCATCAAGATGGTCACCACCAGACAGCATTGAAAGTCTGATGTTCTTGGGTCCCATAGGGGCAAAACGGGGGCGCTGTGGTGCAGTGGGCTAAGCCACCACGTGGGACGCCGGCATCTCATATCAGAGTGCCTAGTTTGAGTGCCGGCTGCTCTGTGCTTCTGATCCAGCTCCCTGCTAATGCTCCTGGGAAAGCAGCAGGTGACAATCCAACCCCCTGGGCCCCTCCCACCCATGGGGGAGACCTGGCTGGGGCTCCTGGCTCCTGGTTTCGGTCTGGCCTAGCCCTGGCTGTTGCAGGCATTTGGGGAGTGAGCCGGCAGATGGACGCTGTCTCTCACAGTCACTCTGCCTTTAAAAATAAAAAATTACTAAAAAGTATTATGGTTAGCTGAAAACCCTCTCAATTGTGTTCCTGGGTAATTTATACTAATTAAGAAACTATCAGAGTGACTCGCAGATCTTCAGCAGGAGAAGCACCAGCATGGTGCTGGCGAGACAGGACACGGGAGGGGCTGGGCTCCAGCTCAGCTTGTCTCTGGGTAGCTGGGCATCCAGCGGGCACTGGCCTCTCTGGTTTCTCCCCAGGAAAGCTTGAGCTCACAGAGCGGTAACACTGTGTCAGCTGTCCACATCTCAGAGCTGTAACACTGTGTCTAGCTGTAACACTGTCTCAGCTGTCCACATCTCAGAGCTGTAACACTGTGTCTAGCTGTAACACTGTGTCAGCTGTCCACAGCTCACAGAGCTGTAACACTGTCTCTAGCCCCAGAGTTATGGTTGGGTTTCAAGTGCGGAAACTGAAATATACTTTTAAATCTACAGAGGGAGGAACAAGTGATTTACTATTCATTTCAAGCGACTTTTCAAGGCCATTTTTTAAAAAGAAGTGTTCCACTTACGTGAGTTTATGTAACAGCAGTCTGATTTCCATTACTTCTGTTATGTCTTTTTATGCATAGAATTCTTAAAAATTACTTATTTATTTATTTATCTGAAAGTCCGAAAGAGAGAAAGAGAAAGGCAGAAAGATCTTCCACCAGCTGGGTCACTCCCCAGGTGCTCACCACAGCCAGGGCTGGGCCAGGCTCTAGGTCTTCCACGTGAGTGGCAGGGACCCAAATACCCCAGCACGCCAAGTATAGAATTCCAACGGGAAATAGCATATGGTCATTAAAATACATTTCCGGAAGAAGACATGTTGATAAAAATGTAAATATCTAATGTAATTAGCTTAGCTATGCAAAAGTCGATATCAAAAAAGACACCAAAAAGGCAGATATTTGGGACAGCAGTTAGGATGCTGCTTGGGGTGCCTGTGTGCCACATCACAGGGCCTGGGTTCAAGTCCTGACTCCACTCCCAGCTCCAGCTTCCTGCCGATGTATACCTTGGGAGACAGCAGGTACTTGGGTCCCTGCCACCCGTGTGGGGGACTTGGACTGAGTTCCTGGCTCTTGGCTTTGGCTTGGCCCAGCCCTGGCTGTTGTGAGCATTGGAGAGCAGGTTGGAGATCTCTCTCCATCTCTCGTCTGTGTGTCTCTGCCTTTCAAATTAAAAATAAGTAAGTTACAAAAAAGCTACAAGGAGTGTTGAAAGACGAGACGATCCCAACCCATTCTGATACCTGGGTAACTGGAAATCAGTCCTCAATTGGTCTCTATTTGCTATGTTCCACTACTTCCTTCTCTCATTCCTTGAAAAGCAAATTAAAGTCCTGCTGGAGCGCTTTCAGCATCAGTGCTGACGACCTGGCAACACGTGTGCCTGCTCACAGGCACAAACACTCAGGTGTCTGGGAGTTGCTGAAGAGGCAACATGCCCCAGGTTGAAATGCTTATTTATTCTGATTTTACTTTCTTCATTAAACGAGTACCCACTATATCATGTGTGTGAATATATATTTTTGAAAATTGATAAATCCTTAGACAAGAACAAAGCTATTTAAAATGTGGTGAAGAATGGGCCGGTGTTGTGAAGCCATTGCCAGTGATGCCAGCATCCCATCTGAACACTGATTTGAGTCTCAGCTGCTCTACTTCTGATTCAGCTTCCTGCTAATGGCCTGGGAGAGCAGCAGAAGACGGCCCAAGTCCTCAGGCCCCTGCACCCACGTGGGAGATGGAGATGAAACTCCTGGCTTCTTGGCTGGCGCCGTGGCTCAACAGGCTAATCCTCCGCCTTGTGGCGCCAGCACATCGGGTTCTAGTCCCGGTTGGGGCGCCGGATTCTGTCCCGGTTGCCCCTCTTCCAGGCCAGCTCTCTGCTGTGGCCAGGGAGTGCAGTGGAGGATGGCCCAAGTGCTTGGGCCCTGCACCCCATGGGAGACCAGGAGAAGCACCTGGCTCCTGCCTTCGGATCAGCACAATGCGCCGGCCGCGGCGGCCATTGGAGGGTGAACCAACGTCAAAGGAAGACCTTTCTCTCTGTCTCTCTCTCACTGTCCACTCTGCCTGTCAAAAATAAAAAAAAAAAAAGAAAGAAAGAAAGAAACTCCTGGCTTCAGCCTGGACCAGCCCTGGCCATTGAGACCATTTCAGGAGTGAACCAACAGATGGAAGATCTCCCTCTGTCTCCTCTCCCTCCCCTCCTTTCTCTCCCCCTCCGTAACTCTACCTTTCAAATAAATAAGTAAAGGTTAAAATTTTTTTTTAATTCAAAAGTTTGCTGAATTTAATATGAGCTCAAGGGTGTTCAGGACATGGTAAGACTTTTAGCTTGTAATAAAAAATTCTAACGAGGGACTCAGAATCGTTGAGATCCTGTAACAATATCTAAATAGGCTTAGTATCGGCCAAATGTTTTCAAGACACTGTTTTTGCGTTACCAGCTCATTATGAGATATGCAAAGGTGCTACGACTCACTTTTCCATCCTTGGAGGTGCCTGCAACTTGTCCCGTGGCTATAGTGATCCTGTCCGGGTGGACTGCTAGGCTAAAACAAAGGCATTTACAGAACATCACACTTTGAAGATAAGCTCTACTTTCCCTTCGTCAGACATCATCTAGCAAAGCCTTTAAATACAAGAAATAAACAACACCCAACTTCTTACAGACTCGCGATAAACCCCCTGCATACCCCAACAACTTTAGACAAGGTGTGCCTATTTCAAGTCAAATCCCTTGTTTCTTCTCAAGGATTTTCAAATTTCAGGGAACAGCTTCTGATGCTGAGAAAATACCCCTTCAGTCTCAGAACCACTTAGTCGACAACCTTTATCAAGGCTAAAACAGGAAAGGCACGAATCTTTGGCTAACGGGATTTTTACCTCGTTCCCCCTTCCCCCATCCCTCCAAGAATATCCCAAATCCCTACCAAAAGCTATAAATGACCCATCCATAAACACCAGACAGAATGTTTTCTTTTTTAACAAAAAAAAAAAGAAAAAAAGAAAAAAGACCCAGCCAGATGCATTTAGCAGGTGATGTGTTAAGGAGGCCTCTGAAGAGGTGTGTCTTGGGGCTATCTGCTTAGGCCATGCTGTCAGACAAGCCTAGGCATTGTGAGGATGGAAGGTGTCCTACAGGGTCAGGTGGCGAGCAGACAACCCAGAGCACACAGAGAGCTTTTCCCAACGATCCTACTGCCTAGGCCCCTGTTCTCCCTTTAATCCTGTCCCTCTATGGGCCTCCTCACGCTATCGGACTGCACCTGCGCCTCGGCGTCCCAGCCCCCGCCTCACCACTTCACGTCGTCACTGTGACCGGCGTAGTGCCGCTGCAGCTGCTCCTCCACATTATACAACACCACCACGGAGGCAATGAAGTACACGGTCTCCCCCGTCGGAAGCAGGTACAGGTTATTCCGGCAGTCTCGACCCCGGTACCCGTAGCTTCGTGCGCGTCAAGGGAAAAACTGCTTTTCCTTTCAGAGCTGACAACACATCAGCTTCATCCAACAGGCAGACACTGACTCTTGGCATGGACTTCGTGAATGTAAGTTACATTAAATTGCAAATACTGAATGCTAAATGCCAAATACCGGACCCCCCGCAGCCACACAGTCAAGTTGGAAATGGCCATGGATGCAAAGGCAATACCTATTTTTAACAAGACAAAGAGTTGGTTTTATTTTTAGAAAAGTTTTTGAGTTAATTATAAGTCCAATTTTATTGTGGTATCAGAGACCTAAATCTTTATTACAAATAGTTTTAGGGGCTGGCATTGTGGCATAGCAGGTAAAGCTGCCATCTACCACGCCAGCATCTCATATGGGCACTGGTTCCTGTCCTGCCATCTCCACTTTCAATCCAGCTCTCTGCTAATGGCCTGGGGAAAGCTGTGGAAGACGGCCCAAGTGCTTGGTCCCTGCACCCATAGGGAGACCAGAAGGAGCTCCTGGCTGGCCATTGCAGCCATCTGGGGAATGAACCAGCAGGTGGATCTCTGTGTCTCTCTCCCTCTCTAGCTCTTTAAATAAATAAGTAAATCTTTAAAAACAGAGTTTTATTAAATATGATAAAAGTATTCATAATGGATAAAAATCACACACACACACACACACACGATAAAAAATTAGGTTCCCGGTGAAAAGCAGAGTTACAGAGTCTAGGCAGAGGCAGAGGCAGATGTAGAGAGGTAGAGTGAGAGAGAGAGAGAGAGAGAGAGAGATCTTCCATCCACTGTTTCACTTCCCAAATGGCTGCAATGGCCAGAGCTGGGTCAGTCCAAAGCCAGGAGCCAGGAGCTTCTTCCAGGTTTCCCACATGGGTACAGGAGCCCAAGGACTTGGACCATCTTCCATGCTTTCCCAGGCCATAGCAGAGAGCTGGATTAGAAGTGGAGCAGCCGGGACTAGAACCAGTGCCCATATGGGATGCTGGCACTGCAGGCGGCGGCTTTACCCACTACACCACGGCACTGGCCCCTGAATGAATGTGCTTTGAGGGGCCAGTGTTGTGCTGCAGCTGGTTAAGCCACTGCTTCAGACACCAGCAGCCAATATCCGAGAGCTGATTCCAATCTCTGCTGCTCCGCTTCCAATCCAGCTCCCTGCTAAGGCGCCTGGGAAAGCAGTGAATGATGGCTCAGGAACTTGGGCCTCTACCATCCACGTGAGAGACCTGGACGGAGGTCCTGGCTCCTGCTCCTGGCTTTGGCCTGGCTCAGCCATGGCTATTGGGACCTACCGGGGAGTGAACCATCGAATGGAAGATCTCTGTCTCTCTTTCTCTGTCACCCTGCCTTTCAAATCAAATCAATCTTCTAAAACTATGTTTTGAATAATGTCTTCCAGGCTCGGCTGACAAGGCAGAGCTGAGCCTCTTCAATGACATGTGCCACACTAGATTCCGAAACAGGCGCTCGCATCAGAATCTGAAAAAATAAAAAAACGTATTTGGGGGGAGAAATTTAGGTATAAGTGGTAATTTTTTAAAATGCCATAAAAATATGACTTCATAATCTCAGCCATTCTTCTGAGTAAAGCCTCCACAGTTCCATTTAAGCTGACTCCTTGGGACGTGCGTCCACGGCTCGGCACCACACAGGCGATCGCCGCGTCCTGATCTGAGGGTGAAGACAGGGTTCCCGCTCTGTGCCTTAAAATCGTCATGGACTGAAGGTGGCCTCTACAGGCTTCCTTTGAAGTAAAAACAGGCACGGGTGTCGTGGCGCAGCAGGTCGAGCTGCCCGCTTGGGTCACCGGCACCCCGTTAGAGAGTGCTGGTTCGAGTCTCTTGGCTGCTCCACTTCTGATCCAGCTCCCTCCTGACGCACCCGGGAAGCAGCAGATGATGGCCCACGCACTGGAGCCCCTGCCATCTGCATGGGAGAGCAGGAGGGAGCTTCTGGCTCCTGGCTTCCACCTGACCTATCTGGGAGGTGAACTAGCAGATGGAAAATCAATCTCTCTCTCTCTCCTTCCTTCTACCTCTCTCTCTTTCACTCTTTCAAATAAATAATAAATCTTTTTTTTTTTTAAATAAAGGCTGGTGTTGTGGCACAGTGGGTTAAGCCGCTGCCTGCAATGCCAACATCCCATATGGGCACTGGTGCAAGTCCTGGCTGCTCCACTTCTGTTCCAGCTCCCTGCTAATGTGTCTGGGAAAGCAGTGGGAGATGCCTCAGTCTCCAAGTGGCTGTAACAGCTGTGGCTGGGCCAGGCCAAAGCCAGGAGCCTGAAACTCCATTCAAGTCTCCCCTGTGAGTGGCAGGAGCCTAAGCACTTGAGCCATCATCCACTGCCTCCCAGGTCCATTCGCAGGGAGCTGGATCAGAAGCAACACGGCTAGGACTCAAACCAGCACTCCGATACGGGCTACTGGTGTTGCCGGTGGTGGCTGAACACCCTTCTGCCCATTTCTGAGTATTTTCATGAAGCTTGCTCTCTGCAAGTTTTTAACTAACTTTATTCTTTTGGAAAGATTGAAATTCAAGCCAAAAACCACTCATTAACTTTCCCTTGACCTTGAAAAAGTCATGCAATTTTCTAACAGGCATATTTTCCTTTCGGGAAACCAGTGCATTCATATTTGAAGAAGAACTGTGGGCTCTTCACTCAAGAAGGCGAGGCGGTTCCCCTACAACCAGTGGTCTTTGGAGCACCTCCTTTCCTAGGGGGGTACTGGGTTCTAAAACTTGGCCAATTTTGTAAACCTCTCTCACTCTTTCTAAGAGTGAGAGAGGGGCAGGTGTTTGGCCTACCCACTAACCCACTGGATGGGAATCCTGCGTCCCATATCACAATGCCTGGGTTCACATTCCAGCTCTGCTCTCAGCTCCAGCTTCCTGCTCATGTGCACCCCGGGAGGCAGCAGGTGATGGTTCAAGTACTTGGATCCAGGCCACCCATGAAGGGGACCTGGATGGGGTTCCTGGCTCCCAGGTTCAGTCTGGTCCATCCCAGCTCTGCCTGTTTCAGGCATCTGAAAAGTGAACCAGCAGACAGGAGTTCTCGTCTCTCTGGCTCTCCAATGAACCAAAAGGTTTTAAAAAGGAAAGTAAGAGCAAATAATTTGTTTTGTAAAACTTTAAGGGACTTTAAAGTTTTATGATTTTCTTAAGTTAAACTTCTAGCATTTAGGGGCTGGCATCGCGGCACAGAATTAAGCTGCTGCTTGTGACACTGGCATCCATGTGGGCCTGAGTTCAAGTCCCGGCTGCTCCACTTCTGATCCAGCTCCAGGCTAATGCACCTGCAAAAGCAGCAGATGAGGGCTCAAGCACCTGGGCCCCTGACACCCCCGTGGGAGGCCCGGCTGGAATTCTGAGCCCCTGGCTTCAGCTCTGCCCAGCGCTGGCTGCTGCAGCCACCTGGGGGATGAAGAGTGGGGTACACGGTCTCTCTGCTTCTCCCTCTTTCTCTGCTGTGCCTCCTCTGAGATAAATAAAACAAAGCCTTTAAATCAGTAAACAAGACCTTCAAGCACACAAGTGGAGCTCCATGTAAATCCACCAGGAGGATGAAGGATACACCCACTCGAGCTTCAGTCTCTTGGTTGGCAGCTCTGCTTTTGCTTCCAAGCTGTAGGAGTCCACTTGATCTTTGGGCATGTACATGGTGACCGGGCGTCCACGGAGAAACATTTTTACGTATCCTTCTTCTACAAAAAGAACACAGGTGTCAGTTGGACACCTCGGTGGCTGGCACATCTGAAGGCAAATTAGGCGTCCTCTCTAATGTACAAGTGAAAGCGATCTCACTCCTGATGAACGTCCTGGGGGAAATAACTAGTCGGAAAATCAAATAGTCAGAAGCACACCTTTGCATCTGGTTTGCCTTTGACGTCCTGCTGACTAGGGCAGGGTACTGTAAAAAGGCAGGGAGGGTTGAGATTCCAGCAACCACTTCCCAGTTTGTATATCGCCAGGAGGGGGAAGCCTACCACACCCCAGAAAAAAAAACTGCAACTAAAACAGGGAATCCACTGATGTTTTATAAACTGAATTCCACACACAGACAGTTTTGGTACCAAAACTTATAAAGTATCTTTCAATATTTAAGTTGGCTTATTTTATATCACAATGAAAAATAATATGCCTTGATCTTTTTAAACTAGGCAAGTCTTTCAAATGTAAAGAACACAGAATCAACACTAGGATGCACCCAAAAAGGAAAATGCTCAAGGGATAGCTAGGAATAGAGAACAGAACAGAGACCCAATCAAGAAGCAGGGACTGAAACTCTAGAACACTTTCATAATAAAATCACTTCTGATCTTTTAGTAAGTTACAGGGACAAAAGTAAAACCCAAAAATGCGGTGACACAGGGCAACTCTTTTAGACTTGAACAAAACCAGCTTGGGGTGCTGTGCCTCGGGCTTTCAGGGTAGAACAAGGGCAAAGAGAACGGCTCCGGAGCTCCTGACAGATTCTGTTGGGATTCAGAGCTTGCTGAATCCTGAGGCTTCGCTGCGGATCAAAGGAGCGGGCCTGAGTGGACTGACACCGGGCGGCGGGAGCAGGTGCATCTGTACACCCGCTTCCCAGAGGACTCGTCCACAGAGGGGACACTGGTGAGGAACAGTCATGAGACAATCACAGTACGGGTAAGTGTCACATCTGCAAGTTAGTTTCCCCAAGAAAGTTCAAACAACGCCACGTGCAACTCCACTCAGACAGTAGGAGGCCATGGCAGCTTCCTGTGACTGTGGGCATGCACTCCAGGTCCTGCACACATGCATGTGACACACTCTTCACTCTGCGCATCACTGGACTCTGAGAAGGGCCACTGCACACGCAGCCCTGCACCACTGTGCCGCCACCGTGTCCTGCCGGTCCTCCTGTTAGAACGTTCCCGGGGGCGGGGGGGGGGGCGTGGCTGTCCCCGGCAGGGCTGAGACTGGCCCATGCCCGGCCCCATCTCTGCAGCTCTCCTGGAGCTCCCCTGGCTCATCCACTCACTGGTGCCAAGACCCTCAGGGCCCAAACTGGACTTCATGGAGTCCTCCCTCCATGGGAACGCCTTCCCTGGCTCCTGTACTTCTGGACCAAACAGCATCCAGTAACTGTCCTGCTGGGCTCTGTGGGCACAGCCTCATCTCGCACACCCACCCTCAGCAGTGCCCTGCACAGCCAGATCTGTCTTCAACACCCTCCACCCTGTCCCTTCTCTGTGCCTGCACTCAGGCCGTTCTCTCTGAAACCTCGTCCCTCTGCCTCTCACCCCAGCCTCAGCTCGTCAGTCTGTGTTGAACACAACAGAAGGAGCAACATTAGCAGGCTGACATCAGCGGGAAGAGGGCAGGAGGGGTCAAGTTTAAAGCTAAGTGAGAACTCTCTTTGCAAGCGATGACTCGGTCCTGCTCGAGGGCTCAGAGAACGCAGGCCGGGAAGGCCACGTACAGAGGGCTGTGTCCGTGACGCTCAGAGAGGCTCCCTGCGCACGGACACAACCAGCACCCATGCAGCGCCCACCTGAGCACTTCCGAGTTAGGTGCAGGTTATCCTGAGGCTCACTGATGGCACAGTTTTGCATTTAATGTGAAATGTAATCAATTACTAGCCAAAAAAAAAAAGCACTGAATTTAGCCTTGGCACTGTTTTGCACTGGTAATTCGGACATTCCACTTCCAAAATCAAAATGCAGCAAGGGAAAGCAACAACTTTTCAGGCACGTTAGGGTAACAGCACGCGACCACCAAACCAGAGGCAGGAGTGGGGAGAGGCCAGCAGCAGTGCAGGTGCCACGTCAGATAGTGGGACATCCAGGAGCAGCCCTGTAGCTCTCTTGGGGTTTTTACAGTTTTAGAAATTCCTGCAAGTTGCTCACTAATCAATCCACATCCAAATTGTAGCCACCTATTAAAGCTCATGCAAGCAGAAGCCGAGAGATACTTTTCACTGAAACGGAAGTGGCATCACAAAGCATGTTCGTCAGAGACGGGGTCTGTCTGCCTGCGGGGAAGAGGCTCCTGTAGCCCGGCTGCGCTTGGCTCAGAGAGCTATGAGGCTCCGGAAATGCCGCCTACCTTTGCAGTGCGTCACGCGGCGCTTCCCTTGGGGTTTTGGAGACAGAGACAGAAGGGCTAGATGAAGAGACTGGAGGACTGCCAGGGTGGCTGGCCTGCCTGCCCAGGGGCACTCACAGCTGGCTGCCCTGGAGACACGGCCCTGCACCCCCCACCCCCAGGTCAAGTCCTGGCCCTCCTGACCTAGTGCACTTGGGGCCATTAACGCTCAGGGACTCATTTCACGCTTCCTGAAAATGAAATGAACATGACTGTGCATGCTGATCAACACAGCACTTTGACTTTCATATCCTAATTCCAAATTTAAGGAGGAAAAACTAAAATTAGGTGAACTTATTTAACTTATTAGACGTTTGTCCACTTTTTTGGTTTGTACTTTCAATGCCCTTTAAAATAAGGCTAATGTGGTTCAAGACAGCATCTGCCTTACTCTAAAACACTTTTAACAGAGATAGGGGAAGGTACCTAAACTACTAGTTTGCAGTTTAAGATATGGTAGGCAGAGAAAGAAGAGCTACTTTTAGATGAAGTTATGTAACTGGATGCATCAGGAAGTTTCCCTTTAAGAGAAATGCACAGGTTGGTGACACACGTCCACTTAGTAGGAAGGAGTGACAAAGGCAGGAGAAGTCTCCTAGTGTGGAAACGCCTCCTCGCACTGCCCTGTCTGCGGCAGGTTCTGGAAGCGGATGTCGATGGGTGAATTTCTATGACTGTTCTGTGGGCATCTCGCTGCTGTCATCAGGACCGCCTGACCCCCAGGGGCCACCCCGGCGTGAGTTCTCCCCACCCAGAGACACCAAAGCTCCCGTGTGCCCAAGGCTGGCCCCGGGGAACACAGGTGAGGGGCGCCCGCCCAAGCACGGAACAGGACTTACCTGCACTGAACACGGGCTCCTTGGGTTTGCTGTGAAAATAAACCACAAGCAGCTGTTAGAGGGTGGCTGAGGTTGTGCCCCTTCCCCTAGGACTCCCCGGCTGCAGCATAGATCCCACGTGTTGACGAGGAAGACAACCCCATTTCACCACGAGAGGGACACTCGTAAGCAAAAATGCCCAGGACCAGGTGTGAGAGATCGTCACGTGGCGCTGGTGACAGCAACTCAGCCTCACAGGAAAAGACCCTGGGGAACCAGGGCGGGAGCCAGGGGGGCGTTTCCCCTCCCCCACTCTCCTGGCAGGGTATTTTAAGAACTGACTCAAACCTAGCACACTCCCAACCAAAGATCCTGTGGGTGGGGACCCTGAGCACTCAGCCCCTGGGTGGCAGGCAGGAGGGAAGGACAGACCGCTGGGGGACAAGTCACCCACGTTGGGAGCGGGGTCCTCTGGCTCCCCCATCTCACGGGACATGTGGGGACAGCCCTGTGGACTCGGGGCCCTGCATGTCACCCCCATGCAGGGTGAGGCAGCCCCTGCAACTGCCCCCTTGGAAACCAAGCACCCAACAGGTTCAAGGACAGCTCCACACACTGGCTAAGGCCATCCCCAGGGGCAAGCCTCCTGCAAGAAGAACTTCCGTGAGGGTCCCCAGGTGCAGAAGGAGAGCAAGGGCACCACGGCTGCAGGTGCACAGCTGCCATCCCACCTCCCCCCTGACAACCCCTGTGGGGAGAGGTCACAGCCTTGCAGACGAGGACATGGAGGTCCCCAGTGCAGTGGCGCAGACAGGTGGCAGGGCCTTTAGGAGGTAATTAGGTGGGGGAGGCCTCTACCCTCGGTTATTCCAGAGAGACCAGGTTGGGTCTCATGGGATTGAGCTGGGTATCCTGGGACAGGACTAGTTGCCTCAAAAGCAGGCTGACACAAGGCACAGTGGCTTCTGCTGCTCTGGCCTCGTCCCCGTGTGCTCCAGCCATGTCACGCCACCCACCAGTTACGACGAAGCATGAGGTCCTCACCAGATGTGGCTGCCCAATCATGGACTTCTGGCCTCCAAAACCATGAGCCAAACTAAAGCCCTCCTCTATATAAAGTGCCCAGCTTTGGGTATTCTGATAGAGTGACACAGACAGACTAAGACCAAGGGAGAGCGGGGCCTGAGTCCAGGAGACCACGAGGTGCACACGGCATGCCGGGTGCCAGCCAGCCTGCCCCTCAGCCCCCTGCCACCATAGGAAAGCACACGGCAGGTAAGTGAGAGCCGTGAGCAGCGTGGCCACACCCCACTCGGGCAGCACTGCGACAGGCACTTTTGTGTGCACATCCAAGCAGATACATACTTAAGATTACTTCTTTTCTCTTCATTTTTTTTTTTTTTTGGACAGGCAGAGTGGACAGTGAGAGAGAGAGACAGAGAGAAAGGTCTTCCTTTGCCGTTGGTTCACCCTCCAATGGCCGCCGCGGCCAGCGCGCTGCGGCCGGCGCACCGCGCTGATCCGATGGCAGGAGCCAGGAGCCAGGTGCTTTTCCTGGTCTCCCATGGGGTGCAGGGCCCAAGCACCTGGGCCATCCTCCACTGCACTCCCTGGCCACAGCAGAGAGCTGGCCTGGAAGAGGGGCAACCGGGACAGAATCCGGCGCCCCGACCGGGACTAGAACCCGGTGTGCCGGCGCCGCTAGGCGGAGGATTAGCCTAGTGAGCCGCGGCGCCGGCCTTCTCTTCATTCTTAACTGGAAACACAAAGAACACCATAAATGCACCTGCCCTTGATCGTACAGTGCAACAACTAACGCATGTTAATATCCAGGACGGCCAGGAAGCCCTCTGTTCACAGGTGCCTCACGTGGCCGGCTGTGTTGTAGACTTAGCTTTCTGATCGCTAAAGCGCAGCAGCTGAGAACACAGACCTCGGCAAAGGCCTGGTCTTCACCGGCCGGCACGGCCCTGCACCTTCCCCACCTGCCCCTACTTCCTCCCCTGCCTGTGGGTCACCGAGTCCCGGTCACTCTGTTCTCTGCTCCTCTGAACCCGCCAGTCATGCTCCCACATCAGGGGTTTGCTCCCCGTCCCTCCCCTTGAACCGTCAGTCAGCTGTGTGGCTACCACCTGTGAGGTGTCTTGCTCAGCAGTGCAACCCGCCCCCACCCCCAGGTTCCCTGCCCACACCATCCCTATGAGTGCCTGGGTTCGAGTCCCGGCTCCACTTCTGCTCCCTGCTAATATGTTCACCCTGGGAAGGCAGTGGATGATGGCTCAAGTACCGGGTCCCTGCACCCCAATGGGAGACCCAGATGGAGTTCCAGGCTCTTGGATTCAGCCTGGCCCAGTTGTTGTGGGCATCTGGGGAGTGAATCAGTGGACAGACGATCTCCCTCTTTTCCTTGGCCTTTTAAATAACAAGACAAAACCCCCAGACTTTTCTGCCCAGGGCTCTCAAGCCCCCATAACCCCTGCTGGTGGGGGGAGGGGCTTAGTTTTGTTCCCTGCTAAGCTCCCAGTGCCTGGGACAGCAGACAGTGGCTGCCTGGAACATGAAGAGGGCCCGAGTCCTGTGGGGTTCCCAACAGCGGCCCGGGGCGCTGGGATCTCTGGTCTCTCTCTGTGCCCTAGCCCCTGCCTGCCTCCATGGTGGTAGCTTTGGGATCCGCATGGAAGGAAGGCCTACACTTCCGGGAATGGAGAGTCCCTACCTGTACTTGCGGGGAAGAAAAGTCCTTGTCAAGGTCCCTGCGGGTGCCTAGAGGTCAACCAGTGAGGATCAGACCGCCTCAACCTTTAACCCCCGTGCCCTGAATCTATAAAAGGAGCTCTCCCAATCTCTGACACGTGACTACCCCGGCCCCCGCTCTGTTGCTCTGTTGGGGCCGTGGAACCTCTCCCGGGAGCGGAACCCCAATAAAAGCCTGTGAATTAATTAATTAGTCTGCCTGGGAAGATTTGTTATGCGCCAGACACCTTGCAGATGGTGCTGAAACCCGGGAGCTGAGGGTTCGTGCTTCTACTTTCTGGGTTCGAGGCCCCCTCGCTCCTTGAACCTGTCTGGTGCCCCAGGCTGACTACGGACCACGCTCGACCCACTGTAAGTAACTCCTCCCTTGCTCTCCCTCCCTCCTCTGGGTTGGCCCAGTCTCTGCGATCTCCGGCTAGCTCTCCGTCCGGACAGAGACCTCCAAATCGTGCACACGTGGTCTCTGTTCTCTCTGCTGTTTAGCCTCCCAGCGGCTGTGGAGACGTCCCACCGCTGGCTTGGCCCCGTAGAGGACTGACCTCTAATCTGTCTGCTCAAGTCCGGGACAGGGGACGCCTTGACCGAATTTCAGTAGATCCAGGCTACCGGGGAGACCATGGGATCTGGCCAATCCTGAGGGTGGGAATCAAAATGCCCCCTGGCCTGCCTGCTAAAGAACTTGAAGAAACTGGGACTGGCCCAGGACCTACGAAGTAAACGCCTAATCTTCTACTCCACTCAGGCATGGCCTAATTACCTTGAGAATCTCTGCCGCAGGGAGAGAAAATGGTCAGAGGTCCCCTATGTCCAGGCTTTCTGAGACCTCCGCCCCCATCCTACTCCCTTCTCCCCTACTTTCCTCTCTGCCTGCTCCACAGCCCAGGTCTTGCTGGCCAAGATCGGGCCACCTCCTAAGGACGCCTCTTGTGTGTTACTGCCAAACTCTCCACCCTCCACCTTTTCGGACCCTCCAGAGTTCCTGGGGACCCCACAGCTAGCCAGGAACCTCATGCCCCCATATGCACATTCTTCTGCCCTGCCCCACCCCATGTCCTGCCTCTCCCCGCGGCCATTGCTGGAAGCCAGGTAGCCACGTGGCCCAACCACCGGTGTCAAGCTGCACCCCCCATCCTAATGAGATTCGAAGTTTTAAAAGGACCTGTTCCTGAACACGTGGCTCTCTAGCCTCCTCCTCTGGTCTCCTTTCTTTTCTCTCTTCTCTCCTGCTCGCTCTCTCCTCTCATCTCTCTTCTCTCCTCACTATCTCCTCTCCTCTCTTGTCTCTTATACTCTCTCTCTTTTTTTCCCTTCTTTACCCCACCACTCCCGTCTGCTGGGTTTTAGGTCAAGTGCCTAAACCCCTTGTGGCCAACTGAATATGACATCATGGGCCTAAGGTGTTCTTAGGAAAAAGGCAACTGTAACTGTAACTGTAACTGTAAAAAGACACTGAGTTTGAAGGAATTTCTCTTTGAATCTAGGAAGATCACTACCTTTGAAAATATCGCTTTGTAACTTGCTGAACTTATTTTGCAATTTATTTTAACAGGTTTCCTGGTAATCAGTACAATGAAACAACAATGAATAATTAGTACTTGTTTTAGATGAATGCAATTTTAATTTTAATTGAATTCAGATAGCGATATTTAATATCAGCATCTTAAGTCATTTAGGTGTAACTGCTAATTTAAATTGGGTAAAGGCAAATGAGATAATATGTCTAAATGTAAACTCTTGTATACTCAGCATGTTAAATTTGTGTTAAAAATGTTATAGAAATGTGCATTTGGTAAGGAAGGTTAAAAGGAAAGAGTTATTTTGAGTAAAGAAAGGACAAGGTTTGAAAGATTGACTTCATCCTGATGGCTAGTTTACTCTAGACTGGAATGGAAATGATGGAATGTTTCAAGTATGTTGAAGAGGGTGTGTGGAAGTCACAGAAGGTTACGAAAGAAATCTTGGATGTTAATGAGAAAGCCACAGAGGCCTAAAGAGTTAAATGTTCTGTAAAATCCTACAGGTGCTTTCAAAAATGCTCTGTGCAGTAAGCACGTGCCTCTTGTTGAGTTTATAATGAGTTTATAATTTTAAACGTGGCAACTGAAAGTCTTTTGTCATCCACAGTTTTATATATCAGATTTGCTGCTCATAAAAGTAAAGCGTTGTTGGTTCTGTGCTTAGCTGTCCTCCTATAGGTTCTGATGGACTTTTTCCAGCCACTTCTATTGTATCCAATACTTTGGGATGGCGGTGTAACAGATGAAGCCAATAATGTATTGCACTTACCAACTGAAAA